TGAACCTAAAGTCACCAAAATATGATAGCTCGTGTATCTGTCTGTTCGCAGCGTGACGGAAATCGGAAACAAAGAGCTCCGCGGCGGTAGATTGCTCTCCGAAAAGGAGCGATGTCTGCTTCCATTTTCTTCGCGCTGGTGCGCCGCCACCGAGACGCATTTCGCAGTCAGCAAAACACATTTTCCGACAGAAGGAAATTCAAATAATTTTCGCCGAGGGTTGCCCCCACCTAGAACATACCTCAGCGTATCTCTGAGCTGTGTCGGGAAGCCTGGCGTTTTGTTCTGGGCGGGTAGAATGCGTTTAGCTGGGTTGTTAGGCCGGATGACCTTTGTGTTGTTGTTGGGTGGTGAGTGACCCTTGCCTTCTCTGTGCATGGTTCGGAGGACATCTTGAATTCTGAATTCTGGACACACGCCCCATCCCGCAACCACAGCAAAAAAATCCACCCCTCGGAGGGACCCTAGGTACAAAACTTCGGTCCCTACCTATGCTACCGCCCCGGTCACGTATGTGTAGCAGGATTTTTGGTGCAGGGAGGCTCGATTTTCCAGACAGGAGGCTTTTGGGCGGCGGGCTTGCGGGCCCGCCATTTCTAGTGCGGGCGGTGCGCCAGAGATGAGGCACCACCCTTTACCCTTTTACCCCTTGTCCTCTGTCCCCTGCCCCCCTCATCACTGGTCTCCGGCCCTGTCAAGGCCCCGTGGATCATCCTAACACCTTCTGTCCGTCCCTTTAATGTTCCAACCACAATTTTGGGTCGAAAAATGCGCGACTTGTCGACAATGGCCTTGCGGTTATCGCGTTGTTTGCTATTTGATCAGTGGTAAGAAATAGTCTCACGCGCCAAGCAAGGCTCGGGTGTGTTTTTTTATGGATCGGGGGGTGGGGACCCTGGCCAGCGGTTCCGGCTGAACTTCAATATCACTGCCAATTTTTGTAGGCAAATTTGAAGGCGATTTTTATTTTTCTTGGTGGAGGAAAGATTTTGTTGTGAACACCAATATGGTTGTTTGCATCGCATAGAAGGTAAACCGCGTTACCAGACAATTTTTGTTGCCCAAGGCCACACAGATACGGGCGAACCCCTAATTTCTTAAAAAAATTAAAATGGTGTTTTTTATCCGTGGGTGGCAACCGTACCTGCCGATCTTGTCTAACAATGATCAATTTTTGTAGACAATTATTTAGAGGCCTTTTAGAATAGATATAGTGTATGAAATTGAAAATTAGTTTTATATATGTTTACGGTTTAGTCTTTACAATATAATGTCCTTGGTCTTTATAAGACTAGACTAGCATTCTTGAGGTACACATGTTTTCCCTCTGGATGGTCTGCTTAATGTTCCTAACCAAAGCCAGGTATTTTCACCTGAGTCCAGTGATAAAATTACTGTAAAATGCCTTTCCCAAGGGACCTAGAAGCTATAGGGATAACCACAATACCACCTGTAATACACATACTTTATGTATTCCCCAGTATGGTTTCATAGAGGATATGATATTTTCTTGGCACATGTGCCCTTTCAGCATGAGAGGCAAAAATTTACCGGCCAAAACACTGATGCTTCATGCTGTGATGGTGGAGAATATTTTGGAACACTAAAATCAAAACAGGATGTTCTGTGTGTACAAGATAACATGATATAGTCGCACACACATCTAAGCAGATGAATACAAAATCTGGTTCACACAATATTTGGTTCATAAATACCTTTGTTCCCATCTTTTTTTCAAACAATAGACAGTTGCAGCCTCTGTACTGAACACTTGTACTATACTGGATGTCTGAGATATGTTTTCCAGTCAGTATGTTTCATTCTCTATGGTCTACCCTTGTGAAACCATATGGACATGTTGCCATAGATTTAAACACTAGCCATTGAGTTGGTCTTAAATACCACAAACTGTATGCAAATTCCCTGAAAACTAGGTTGTAGTGTGGTATGTCTGTAATGTTTAATTTTAAATTTCTATGGACCTCAGACTGAGTAGAATTCTTTAAGTCATTGAAATTTTCTGGCAAATTGGATGACAGTGTGAAAGAAATCATATCAGAAGAAGTGTGCTGTGGAGAGAATAGCAACACTGGAGCAGGCCTTGCCTTGTGATGTTTATAGTCCAATTTGTGCAGGTTTTTATGGTCGGACGGCACATAAAGTCTGATGGGACTCGTAAATCTTGGGACACCTGGGTTGTGTCTGAAGGACAACGGAATAAACATGCCAGAGATAGAAGTATAAATATTCCACATGAAGAAATGCTGCTCACGAAATTTTGGATATGACAAACTTGTTAGTCATAATAAATTCCTGTGGGATTTGCTTATACATATAATACAGTCTTTCCTGGTGGTAAAATGTATCCTCTGAATCAGAATAAGAATTTTTGGTTTAATGTAGTGAATACAAATTACAGAATACATGAATTGACAACTCGGTAACACTCAAAAGTTTTGCAATTACAATGTCATATCTTAATGCTTGTTTTCAACAATTTTAAGCATCAGTATACGAGTATTCTGTAATGTAGAGTAGCTGTGTTAGATTTATCTTGGTAGATGAAATAAACATGGACATGTATGGTATACCCAGGTATAGGCAGCTGAGAAAGAGCAGACAGTCAGTAAATCATAATTGCATGCCCTAAGGGCCCTGTCTGACTTCTTCCCTTAGCATGTTTGAACATGAAACCCCACATTACAGTACATATTATACAGGGGTATTTTTGACATGACCACAGTCAAGCCTTTCCTTTAGTTTACTGTGGTGTAATATTGCGATTGCTGTGGATTAATTGTAATGGAAATGTATTGAGACTATCATCCTGTAATGTTGTCCATGTAGTCAAATGTATATCCTGTTTTGATGGCATGATTTTTTTCCTTTGTACATTGTAAATATTGATTAGTATTTCGATGAAGGTTAGACATCCAGGTAATAAGATACGCCAAAAAGCAGTTACTCAAGCAACTGGATATGATTTTGGAAACAGTCAGACGTTTCAGCTAGTATACGGTGTATACCTGCATTTCTCCTCTGGTCACTCAGTCACTAGTGGATACTAGCTGAAACATCTGACCATTTCCAAAATCATATCCAGTTGCTTGAGTAACTGCTTTTTTGGCGTATTGATTAGTATTGATTGTTTAGACAAACAGACATCATTAGCGATACTCAGGTAGTGGATGAGGATTAATTATGGGGCTTTTATTCATGTGTGAAACTACCATGCAATGGTTAACTTAGGAGTTTATTCACCTGTCCACATAGACCAGATTTTACAGTATCTGTGTCAGTATAGCCGGTATAACCATCATTAGGCATAACACACCAGCTTTGCAGGCACTCGGTGCGGTGGCAGCTAGCTGTATCACACCAAACTACTTGTTACACTCAATCTTTGCACATTTAATTGCAGGTGTTGTTTAAAGCTTTCTAGTGATGATGCCCCAACTGTGCTTGGTGGCAACGAGTTCCAGTCTACGATAGTTCTTGGGGAAAAAGTTTTTGAACACCTCAATTCTTGGTTGGTAACTCTGATACTGCCTTACTTGTCCCCTGAGTGGTCTTCTTGTTAAGGAAGTTTGGACTCTATTTTCAGCCTGTTCATGTCCTGTTACTGTCCTGTTTCCCCAGCAGAGAGCACCTGAGCGGTGCTTCTGGCCAGGCAGGGTTGCATGAGCGATAAGTCCCCACCGGTGGATCACACATACTACCAGGTTTGTTCGTTTGTTTGAATTTTACACATGGTATACTCTACTAGAGGAGAGAGTCCGAGAGACGGAACAGGTCATTAACTGTAAGTTGTCTCCCCACAAAAAGACACAAAAATGAAGATATACACGTATCATTCAAGATATCAAGACGTTACTGAGACTTAAGAAAAAAAAAATGTTTGCCCATATACATTACAACTTACTACAATGATAACCAATCATCATACAATGATAACCAAACAATAACATCCATCTAATATCATTCAATAAACACATTATGAAATGTGCATAGTTACACTACATTCTACAACATGATACTAGTTTTGTTGGGTTAAACTCTTTCGAGACAAATTTATATACAATATATACTAGCTAGGATGTAATAATAACAATGACAGTGATGTTTATTTACACATTCATGCCCATAAGGGCTAAGGTGCGGTACATATGTAGTTTCAGTACAGATAGAGTACAGAGATGCTACACCACATTTATTGCATACAAATGTATGCACATATAAGGCTAACATTGATATACTAGTAGTTAACATTGTAGTTGGGACATTAATAGGTGACCATTAACAGGTCACCATGTGCTGGGTACCCTAACAGTAACACCACTACATTTAAAAAGCCGCGATATATCTTACGTTTGACCTCTTCTTTTGAGGCAGTGGGAGACGAATATATATATATACAATATATGTAATAATAACATTGTAGTTGGGACATTAATAGGCCACCATTAACAGGTCACCATGGACGCCGTGCAGGAAGCCGTAGCGATGAGCGAGGGCCAGGCGGTGAGCGTGGAACAGCCCATCGAGACGACGGTGGCCACGGCACACGAGACCGTCGCCATGACAGAAACCGTGACGGTGTCGCCCGGCACGCCCATGTCCACCTCCACGGCTACGGTCACCATCACAGTCACCCCGCAACAGGTACGAAAGGCCATAGGTACACAGTCACCCCGCAGCAGGTACGAAAGACCATAGGTACAATGTGACAAAAGAAATAAATAGTCACCATCACAGTCACCCCGCAGCAGGTAGCTCTAGTTTACACATGGCAAACTTTGGCTGCAGCAATGTATTTCTTTGGTCCTCAGGCGCTACCAATTTAATTTGTTGGTATTCGGATTCGCCTCTTCATTATTTTCTGATTTGCAAAAGAAAAAAATAATAAAAATTCTGAATAAACTCAATAATGCTCATATTTGCCACAAACAGGTGAGAAAAGTCCTTTTCTTCCTAGTTACACAAAATTCATTGTTTAAATATTGTTTTGTGTTTACTTTACACATTTGTGTTGACTTGACTTCAAGGCTCCTATCGTAGCATTTGGAGCCATAATAGGATTCCTAGACCTGTTTTTTTTTCCCTGTCGCTTCATATTTTTTCAGAAAAAATCTGAGAACTAACAAATTAAATAGGTGTGGCCTAAACATTTTTTTTAAATCGGAGAACCAACAAATTGATGTGGTGTTGCCTTGTCAGTTTTTAACCCAGTAAACATGTAATTTGTCTTTTGCAATGTTACATGTCCTTTAGTATCGTAAGTATGTTTGCCAAAGTACCTGTAAATTCTCCTATAATAGTATTAGCTGTAAATCAACTCAATCCTTCCCGGTTGATAACATTGGTTAGATCAAACACTGACCTATATTACCATGATATATGGCCTACACAGTCAGAGCACTAGGACAATCAATGGAAGTAAAGTTGCAGTGCTCTCAAGTCTTGTAGGCACGATATATCTTTTATTTCCTCATTGAAAATCTTGAAATCTGAAGTCTTGAAATATACTGATACAACATTTGCTAATCATAGTTCCTTGACTTTTCCATGTACATGCACATGCAATGTACTTCGCTATACGTGTGAAAACTAGTACCCGAAGGTTTTTAATTTCATTCCAAAAAGCAGTTACTCAAGCTACTGGATATGATTTTGGAAACGGTCAGACGTTTCAGCTAGTATCCACTAGCTTTCGTCAGTGACTGAGAGACCAGAGGAGAAATGCAGGTTTATAAACACAAACTATCTTATAAACTAAGCTTATAAACCTGCATTTCTCCTCTGGTCTCTCAGTCACTGACGAAAGCTAGTGGATACTAGCTGAAACATCTGACCGTTTCCAAAATCATATCCAGTTGCTTGAGTAACTGCTTTTTGGCGTATTGTATTACCTGGATGTCTAACCTTCATCGACGTTTTAATTTCATGGTTTGTGACAGATGATTTCATGCTGTTGTGATTAACTAGTCCTGTTGTGTAACTGTTACAGCTGAGTGCAGCAGGTGCACACCTGACCACCCCCACAACTCTGATGGTATCTCCCACAAGTACCCCCATGGTGTCCTCCACTACGCTGATGATGACGCCAGGCGGAACCCCCATAGGGACCCCCACGGCCGTCATGATGTCGCCGAACAACGTGCTGTTTACGCCACACGGCGCAGGCGACACCAAACCACAGGAGCTCTGTGTGGTGTGTGGGGACAAGGCATCAGGTAGGGTAGAGTTCTCTCTCTCTCTCTCTCTCTCTCTCTCTCTCTCTCTCTCTCCAGTTTATCGTCTGTTGTTCCCCATGACAAAGGTTAGACCTGCTTTATGGTAGCTTGACATTTGCCTCTGTCCTGCGGCAAATGTCAGTATCCCTGCGGGTTAGGGTTTCAGCAACTTCACCGGCCAGCCACGCGGTGTCCCAACATTAGGTGATGCAATCAATGATTTGGATGCTCCTTTAGTATGACACAGTCCAGGGATGGTACAGGGCTGTTGGGGTGTATTGCTGTTACTCCATGTTATATTTCGTGGGCTTATGGCGTGCCAATAGCTGTATAACCAATATTGTTTGTTTGTTTGTTATTATTCTCAATAGAGGTAAAGCGTGATGCTTTCTAGAGTAGCTACACTTTGTATTGTAATGCACACTTACATAACATATCTTCACCTTGTTATCCCCAGGGCGGCATTATGGCGCAATAAGCTGCGAGGGCTGCAAGGGCTTCTTCAAGCGCAGCATCCGTAAGAACCTGGGGTACGTGTGCCGCAGCAGCAAGGACTGCCCGATCAACAAGCACCACCGGAACCGCTGCCAGTACTGCCGGCTGCAGAAGTGCCTGTCTGTGGGCATGAGGTCCGAGTGTGAGTATGCATCCCTTGTCTCCCTTGTGTGTTAGGATTGTGTGGATTGGACTGTTTGTACTTTATAAGCAGAGGTAAGGCCCGTTTTTGGATCAGCATGAAAGTTCATCTGAGTTGGTAAATTACATTATGAAGAAGTTAAACTGTTCTCCAACTCAAAATTTGACTCACCGGAATTTTCGACTGAATCACTCAGTCTTCCTCAGCTGTCTGACCCAAATGCTGTTTTTGGGCGTTGTCTTTTACCTTTTAGTCATTTTGTCAGACTTTATATTTTGGCAGCTTTTCTATGAGTGTCCTGGCTTACAGGAAGCGCGACGAAAACGCCTAGAAATGCTTTAAAGAAACCTGAAAACAGGTCTAACCTCTGCTTGGAGAGTAGCTTTTTGTTATGTTGTAGCGCTACAGTTTTCAAAATGTTTATTGGTGTTGGGAACTGATGTGTATGATTGTAGCACTTTGTGTGACATCCCAAAGATGCAAGATAACTAAATTGCTAAACATAACTAAACATTGACAAAGTTCTGACGATTTTCATATTATTAATCTATGTATGTTGTGTCTTTTGCTCTCTTGGCTTTCCATTGCCTTTCATTAGGAAAGGATTGGAAAGGCATGGGGTTAGGTGTAATGGAATAGAAGTATATGTATTGTCTGAATGGGGTGATTGCTTCTACTTTGTGGTAGAATTTTCAGCAGGGGACAGTAAAAGTTAGTGTAGAAAACTCACCAATTCATTCTTTTAATCATTTCACAGTCTTGTTACATCTTGCCATTTGTTACTAATAAGTTGCATGGTTTGTTGGAAACTAGATTTGGATTCCAATTTCACAGAAACAAATATTTAACAAACATGAAACCATTTATATATCACATGCGTAGATAGAAACAAATTGCAGGTTGTGTACAAAAAATAACATTGGTCCTTAAAAACAACTGTGTAGATCATTTGAAAAACAGTTATGGATCCTTAAAACAACAGTCATTGATCCATGAAATTACAAGGATCCCAGAAAGAAAGCCATGTTTGTATAACAAATCAGGCGTGGATCCTGTAAAGCTATTATTGATGGATCCTAAGAAACCAGTGGTGAGTGAACAGAGAGCGATCAGTGTTCTCGCCAGGTCTTTTGAGCATAGGGGCCCCCTATGCTGCAATTTGGATGGACCCCTATGCTGTGATTTGGACCCCCTATGTTGTGATTTGGACCCCTATGCTGTCTTTCAACCAGCATAGGGGTGTTTTTTCTGGAAGAACTTTCATAAATTATGCAAAAAAAATGAAAATACGACTTTAGAATTAAGCTATAGCAAAGGGAAAACCATAACTTCACAAAATCTCTCCCTTAATAAGTGAGAAATAGTGTTAGGGGGTTATGAGTGTCAACTTTTTTTTGGCTCAATGCGCAAAAGTTGCCCATCTGTACCTGACTCCTATGCTGTGAAAAAATCCTGGTGAGAACCCTGAGCGATAGCTTGACCCACGTATAACGTATACCGCTGCTGGAATGACTGAACACATGGGTGGAGACATGTTGAATGTTTCTGCATGGCCTTACACAGCGGTCCAGTGTGAAAGGAAGCCTCTTGATCCAACAGCTCGCGAGCGACCGCCCAACTGTGCCACCTCCACCGAGAAAATCTACATACGCAAGGACCTGCGCAGCCCGCTGGCCGCCACGCCCACGTTCGTGACGGAGAGAGAACCCAAGTCGGGAGGGCTGTTCGACGCAGGCATGCTCGCAAACATACAGGTAGCTATACAGCATTTGTTTGTTTGCTAAAATAACCGGTAAACCACCTTTAGGTGTAACACACCAGTTTTGTACATGTGAGTACAAGCTGCGTAAGACCGGACTGTAAGATTTGAACCACTCACACTGGGAAGGTCCCCTACTCTTTTGGATAAGTGCGGTGGGTCCAAACGTCCAATCCGAGGGACGTCCCTAACCGAAGCTAGGTACTCATTTACACCTTAGTGAAGTGAGGAAAGTTGTGTAAAGGACACAAGATCGGCGACATGGGTAGGATTCGAACCTTGGACCTCTTGGAATGATAAGAATAGCTATGTGAAGACAGATGTGTACCAAAATCTTTCCGTGATTCACTCGGTGCCTCCTCTTTTCCAGGAGGCACTGAAACAGCAAGGCGACAGCAATGCACCCATCCTGCTGGCGGTGGACCCTACCAAGTCGGACGGGAAGGAGGGGGACGGGAACACGGACCTGAGTACGCTGGCCAACGTGGTGACGACTCTGGCCAGCATGAGTAAGAACAAGGAGGGGCAGGCGCAGCAGAATGGCGGGGAGGGCGACGCGGCCATCAGCAGCGACGGGACCGTCATGGAGGTACAGACCTCCACCGACATCTCCAAGGCCTTCGATAACCTCACCAAGGCCCTCAACACGTCGCAAACAGGTGGGTTACAAGAATGCAACGCCTGTTTTGTTTACAAAATATTTATACAGAAACACACAACAAATGTTCAGCTACACTGGGGAGCTTTCGAGACCCACTGTCTCTTCTTCAACCCGGTTAGGATCTCATCTATGTCCTATGTTTTTGTTTTCTGTGTAATCTCTGTTAATTGTGTTTCTTATGCTAAGTACACTTTTTGTCAGTTCTGTTCACTTACGTTAAAATCTGCCATGTATTATGTCTGGATCTGTAGTCTGGATCCTGGACCCCCTTGCAAAATGATATTACAGAATTGAATGCATGCTGCAGTACCAAGGTCATCCACCAGGAGACCCATATTTGACCTTGGCTTTTGTCTTCCTAAGACTTACCAGCATACCAAATATCATCACAATCCATAAAGGCGTTATGAAGTTATGGTGACTACAAATGTGCAGAAACACGCACAGACACACACACAGACGCACCAAAAACAATACCTCCATTTTTCATGGAGGTAATAACACCTTTGCTATCCACCCCAGGTGAACAGGGGATCACGTCAGACAGCTCCCAGGCGATGGAGGGGACGTCAGACCAGGACCAGACGACCGTGATCGAGCTGGAGGGTCCCCTGCTCACGGACGCGCACACGGCCTTCAAGCTGACCACGCCGTCGCCCATGCCCGAGTTTCTCAACGTCCACTACATCTGCGAGTCGGCATCCCGGCTGCTGTTCCTCACCATGCACTGGGCGCGCTCCATCCCAGCCTTCCAGGCACTCGGGTGAGGAGGCACAAGAAATGTCCTATGTTAGTTTAAAAAGTTCAAGAGGCTCTCCTCGTCAAGTGACGCATAGGGCAGTGCCCATCTCCGTTTTCAATAGCCCTGGGCCACACAGCAGTGCAATTACTACAGCAGGGGGGCTAGTCCACTGGTAGTAGTGTGTGTGTGTGTTTAACTCCCATACTCTTTCCCAAATGCTGAGTGCTATGCAGAGAAAGCAGTATGTACCATTTTTAAAGTCTTTCGTATGACTCAGTCAGGGATTCAAGACCTACCGAATGCAAGGCCTACCATTGCACCGGTCCTACGTTATGTCTACGAAAAAAAATGCTATGTTTATTGTTTCCTGACTGACCCTAGAAAAAAACTGCCAACCCTAGCCCTTTTTTGTGCGCGATACAGGACATTTAGGGAAAGGTTTCAAATGTATTTTAATGTTTATGCTGTGTTTGTTCCAGACAAGAGTGCCATACAGGCCTTGTGCGGGTGTGCTGGAGTGAGCTGTTCACCCTGGGTCTGAGCCAGTGTTCAGCCGTCATGTCCCTCCCAACCATCCTCACCGCCATCGTCAACCACCTGCAGTCCAGCGTGCAGGCAGGTCAGTAACACAGCTTAAATTCTTACATACACCAGGATAACTTTCCATGAAACAAGCCACACATCGAGTCCCCAAAACATAACCATAGCTGGGGGTCTGGTGTAACTCATAACCCCCTGAGACATTATCATTTCTTGCTTATTGAGGAGTTATAGCTTCATTCCAAAGTCGGAATAGGGGGGTCCAAATCATAGTGAAGGGGGCTCCTATGCTCTATCAGTCTGGTGAGAACTATGGTACATCTTCCCCAGGAAGAGAACATCGCTTTTTCCATTCCTCCTGGTCTTGGAACACCCCTTTCTCCTCAACTTTATCTGTAACACAGCTATCTTGCTCTCATACTCCATCCCCCAACTGTACTTGGTAGTAACAAGTCGCACTCTACGATAGTTCTTGGAAAATAAGGTTCTTGTGTCTCCTGTCTATCCAGACAAGTTGAGTGCAGACAGAGTGAAGGTGGTGATGGAACACATCTGGAAACTACAGGAATTCATCAACAAGATGGCCGCCCTTACGGTCGACCCCACGGAATACGCCTACATGAAGGCCTTGGTTCTCTTCAGCACAGGTGAGGCACTAACCTAAAGAGTGCTACAGACTAAACATTATTCATAGACATGCAATGAAGGAAAATGGCAGTTTTCTTCATTTTTGTTCTCTTAATTTTTACTTACAATTTACCTGCAGATAGCTGGATTTTGTCTCAAGCAGGACATAGCTGCAAGACATTTTTAATCAACTTAGCATGATTATGTTTAATGTATAGTTTATTTATTACTCTATTAGAAGATGTTCAAGCAACAACACAAATGAATGGTAGCAATGATAGAAAACAAGACTTCTCAAAACAGTTCTGTGAGGTGATCATTTCACTATCACATCAATATTTCTGTAAGGCAGAGTTCTGACCCCACTTTGAAATTCCCATAGAAGAAAAAGTGTCCAGAAGAGCTGCTTCAGTGTTTGTCTAACTGCCATCTCTGTGTTGTGTTTCCCCAGACCACCCTGGGCTGCTGAACCCTCGGCAGATCGAGAAGTTCCAGGAGAAGGCCCACGAAGAGCTGAAGGAGTATGAAGCTCAAGCACACCCTGATGACACAGACAGGTACTGCACCTTATAACAAGTAATGGCACCTTATAACATGAAATTGCACCTTATAACTGCACCTTATAACTTGGACACAAGATGAAGAAGTCATGGATTCAATCCTTGGCATTCCTGCCTAAGTGTTGTGTCCCTGGGAAAGTCTTATAACATGCAACTACTACTTATAACTTGGGCACAAGATCAAGTGGTCACAGTTTTGCTCCCTGGCGTTGTGTTATTGGGAAAGGCTTTCTTCACCTTCCAATACCTAGTCCCTTGAGCTCCTGATAGTTTAATAACTGAGCGATTATTTTCCTCCCATAACACAATCATCATTCGCTTACTAAGATCTGATGCCTTTTACAGGAACTCCAAAACACAATTTACTATGCATCTAGGTTTTTTCTGTATTGTTTGTATGTCTCTAGAGTTTTGTATTATTTTAGTGATGTACTGTGTTTTATGAGTTTTTTTTTTTTACCTGAAATAAAGAATAAATGAATGTTTGTCTGTTGTCCTGCAGGTTTGCGAAGCTCCTGTTGCGGCTACCGGCCCTGCGCCTGCTGTCCCCCTCCATCATGGAGGAGCTTTTCTTCGCTGGGCTGATCGGCAACGTGCAGATCGACAGCATCATTCCCTACATCCTCCGCATGGAGACAGCCGACTACAACAGTCAGATTGGGGGAACCTCACAGTAGAGGGCCACTCACAGACCACACATACATATATACAGCACAATGCGACATGTTCTATCCTAGCATGAAAGTTCAGTGTTGGTACAAATCATTATGAAAAAAAGACTAAGTTTTAAATTCCAACACTTAGATTACAGAATTTGGACTTACCCCAAATTTTCGGTTGACTCCATCAACCTTGTTCATGGAATGGACCCGTCTACTCTTGGAACGTGACGTCAGAGACACGTGCCCGTAGTAGCAGGTCATACGTTCCAAGAGTAGACGGGTCCATTCCATGAACAAGGTTGATGGAGTCAACCGAAAATTTGGGTAAGTCCCAATTCTGTAATCTAAGTGTTGGAAGTTAAAGCATAGTCTTTATTTCATAATGTTCTATCCTGTTTAAATAGTACACATTCTGTACAATGTTGTGTAGCTGATGATCACTCATACTCATAGAGCAGGTTCGCAGTCACTATCCAGGGTTAGATTATACTGCTGCTGTTGTCCCTGCCACAGGGGTCGGCAGCAGTCGGCTAGTGGTACTGGTCTTCACACCGCTCCTCCAGGCAGCCCTGTCCAGTGGGTCAACACTGGCAAGGCCACGCTCACTGATGTCTCTCTCAGTCTAGGAAAAAAAATTTGGTGAGACTCTTTTTGCGGAGAACAGTACAACACTGAAGTTCACAGACCTCCTAGTCCTAGTAAGAGATCAGCTTGTGTAAGATTTTCCCCCGTGGTGTAGTCTTCTGGGTTTGGTGCGTCCTCCCTGTCTGTTGGTGTTTGGTCATTATTAATGTGTCTTCTGCGTGATACTGTGCACAGTAGGATTTCATTTGTAGGCACAATGTCACACCTATCAGCAAATACGGAGAATGAATGTAAAGTAGGACAAAAAAGAAAAAGGAAAAATTCATTTGGTGACCACGACTATTTGTATGCTACGATATTACACATAACCTACAATCTTAAAAACACTGTTGTTTGTAAAATGGTTAGCTTACTCCGGTAAGTCTGTACAACGAATAAGAAAACAACAACAAACCCTCAGCTCAGGTTGCAGGGATCCAGGTTGACACTTTCAAAAAACATTTGTACTTACATTGATCAACAACCCTCTAACAAGTACATGTATATGTGGCATGCTTTAATACCCGTGTGATGATAATTAGTGAGACCCGCCAAGCGGGATTTCCTCACCCTACGCTGGTCTACCTAACGTGATTTAAACCCGCCCTGTATATAGAGCAGCACTACAATTGACCAAGTCAAAATTTCCCGTGGGGTGTAGGTGTAAGATTCTGTACATGTACATGTGTGATTCCATAGGGACCTCGATCGTGTGACGTAGTTAGAACAAGGAGGGCTTGCGGTAGAGCGAATATGGTCTCCACCAGACTCACAAGGCGGGTTAAAAAATATGCAAGTTTAGCAAAATAGGGAGAACGATTCGCCAGGGGAGTTTGGCTACCAGAGGGTTTCATTTGCACACGTAAGGGCAAGTGTTCCCCTTACAGTGGGCTCACTTTAGCCTCTACCAGGCTTTGGAAGGCGGCTGGAAAGAGTAGAGATCAGCCAAATAGAGAGATAACATGCCAAGGGAGTTTGGTCGGCTGGAGATAACAGTTTGCCGCTCCCAACCAAACTCCCTCGGCATGTTATCTCTCTATTTGGCCGTTTTTTACTCTTTCCAGCCGCCTCCCAAAGCCTGGTAGAGGCTAGGCTCACCCCCTTTGCGGATTACTGACACTATGTTTGCCGAAGCTTGCTATCCAAACCTCCCTTGGAAAAGCCTGGTGGAGGCTAGAATCAGAATCAGTCGGACTGTTCCAGTGTGGTGTCCAATCAAGTAGACGATAATGTTTCAAGCAACGATAATGTGCCTTGTACCATAGTGAAGATCAGCAGAAGGAACGGGGGTCCCTGGAAGACAAGACTGTTGATAAACCATACATATACTATAGGACGTTAGTCACGTTTTTTTCCCAATCAGTTGGAATTGTGTCTTTAAGGAAGCCGTACGTAGACTGTTCATTAACATGCGTGTGTTGTTGTGTGTACCCTACTAGAACAAGTGAACCCTTAACACATGAGATGAAATTTGCTACCCAGCCGTTCACCACGGAATATTGCACTCACGATGTATTTTAATTAATTCAGCGTCAGATAGGTGGTAATGTAATGCTAGTGTGTTTTGAATGTATTGTAATTTTTAAGAATTGTTTAATACTGTTATCAGATTATAATGAAGGGGTTTGAACAGGGGGTTGGGATGTCTCGTCATAGAGGCCAGTTGGGATGACATTTTGGGGGGTTTTAAGTTGACTCCTACAGATGCCAGGTTGTTAAGAACAAAAAACTCCTGTGATATAGCCGCTAGGAGTAAGCAAAGACGATGTACATGTGGTTTGCGGCAATATATAGAGGTTGGTTTGTACGCTGTGGCTATGGAAAGATAAATGTTTTATAACACAAGGGTTCTTCATGTGATTGTGAGCGATGGCTAGTAAGTGTTATAGGAACATGGTGTGTGGTATGTACACTAAGGTGCCAATGTTCAGGAGTACTAGCCTCTACCAGGCACCGCGGATCGCTGAAAAATAGCAGAAATTGGCTGAAATAAAGGGATAGTATACCAGAGAAGATCCCGGGCCATAGAAGATCCAATTTGCGACCCACGGGTCTATGGCCCTGGATCTTCTCTGGTATACTATCCCTTTATTTCGGCCAACTTCTACTATTTTTCCAGCAAACCGCAGTGCCTGGTAGAGGCTACAGGAGTACTGAAACACCCGTACTTTGTTGGGAAGAATGGATTGATCTACGAACCTCTTACTCACCTGGCTGAAAGAAATGTGAATAATATGTACAGGACTCGAATCGATTTGAATGTATTAGAGAAATCGTTGGTTTGTGATATTTTGCAATAGCGTTGATGTTTTCCTTTTAATCAGTCATTTTTATTATAAGTGCTTTGAATGATTGACGATTTTGTCCGAATAATAATTAATTATACAGCATAGTAATGGGTATAATTGTTTTGCAGCAGATTAGGTTGTTGTGGGGATACCGCCTGTTAAGTTGAACCTATGACCATTCCAGTGAAGACTGACGAGGAACAGCCTGTCAGTGGTACCGTTAACTCCCGACGTGCAACTTCTCAGCGGTGCTAATCGTGAATTTCATTGTTACCACCCCCCTACTTAGTTGTCTTCCCCCCCCCCCCCCCTGTGGCACCATGGTTTTCAACTGTCTTTGCTGACATTTAAATAAGATGATTTTGGAAAGAAACAGATGTCTGTGTCTTCTTTTTTTTTTTGTATTACTCTCAAGATCTATAAGAAAAGAAAGTACCCATGTCCATTGTCCTAATATATTACATTCTTGTATTTTTACAATATTATATTACACATAAGAATTTAATTGCCAAAATATGTCACTAATACAATTAAACATAAGCTCACAATCTAATAGTATCTGGGCTTCATAATATGTTGATACTGCTTTCATCTATTCAGTGCAATTGATCTATCACAATAGTTTGACATAAAGCCCAAACTTTCAAAGGCACAAAAGTTTTTTTCTTAACTTTGGAATCCAAATAAAATGTTCTTGGTTTGTCAACTATAGCTTTTCCAAGTTTGTCCTCTACAGTCCGGTCTCGGGTTTGACGTCTAGAAGGAGTGATAGTCACTTGTCACCTGCTACCTATTTTTCTTTTATTCCAACATCTAATGATGCTAATCACAAGACGTGGCGACGGCACTTATACTAATGCCACCACCAACACGGGACAATACAATACTCATTTTCTGAGCGAAGTGAGGAAAGTCGCGTAAAGTGCCTTTCCCAAGGGCATGTTCGGGACCTCTTGGTTCCGAGTCGAGCACTCCGCCGCTACGCCACACGACCCCAACTATTAAGCCAACTCTCTGCCTCTAAACCGTCTGCGATACCCAAGGGAGGCTGGTGACTCATGTCGGTTCCTGTTGTGTTCAGGTCGTACATGTATTTCAGTTTCACTTCTGATCGCGCTCTGTTCCTCGCCTACGGCTTGGTTCACCGCCCATGCCGCCTGGATGGTCTCTTTCGCAACCTTGCCGAAAAATTCCCCGCTCTTGTTCCCAGACTGATTTTGTGATCCGTTCATGTTGTTGTTCGATGGCGTTGACCCTTGATCAGTCGATCCAGAAAACTTTGAACCTCCGTTCCCCGACGCTGTGTTAGACGCCAGTTTCTGCGCTGGGGACGCCACTTTCTTGATGTTGGAGATGGTGTGAGATGCGATCCCTCCAGCCGCGCCTATGGCCACGCCCTTGCCCCAGATTTTAGGGTCTTTCCCGTAATCCTTCCACTTCTTTCGGCCCTTCGCACAGTTCCCGGCCTCCTCCACCGCAGTGCTAGCCACGGAAGATATCACCCCGCCTGCAACGCGGATTCCGAGCTTGGTAGCTCCCCGCTTACATGCCTCGTTCACGACTTTACCTGCAGAGAACAAGAAATAGCCATGCCTTCAACTACCAGAGTTATCAACCAAGGATTGAGGTGTTCAATAATTCATTCTTTCCTAGAACTATCGCAGAGTGGAACTCGCTGTCACCAATGCAAGTACAGTAGGGGCATTGTCATTAGATAGCTTTAAACAAGAGTTAGATTTTTAAGGGTTTGGTGTAACAAGGCGATCGGTGTAATGTAGCCAGCTGCCGCCGCGCCGCGTGCCCGTGAAGCCGAAGGGCGGTTATACCGGCTATACAGATACAGAAGCTGGTGTGTTACGCCGAAGGGCGGTTATACCGGCTATACAGATACAGAAGCTGGTGTGTTACGCCGAAGGGCGGTTATACCGGCTATACAGATACAGAAGCTGGTGTGTTAGTACGCCGAAGAGCGGTTATACCGGCTATACAGATACAGAAGCTGGTGTGTTAGTACGCCGAAGGGCGGTTATACCGGCTATACAGATACGATACAGAAGCTGGTGTGTTACGCCGAAGGGCGGTTATACCGGCTATACAGATACAGAAGCTGGTGTGTTACGCCGAAGGGCGGTTATACCGGCTATACAGATACAGAAGCTGGTGTATTACACCGAAGGGCGGTTACACCGGCTATACAGATACAGATGCATACCTGCCGCCACCGTTGCGACGCTCTCTGTCGCCGCCACCCCGCCACATCCTATCACCCCTGTCACAAAACCCACCGCCACATCCACGCCATACTCTTTCCCGCTGATCTTCTTCTTCGTGATGGCCTTGACCGTCCCGTGGATGGCCGAGCTAATCCCGGCTCCCGCCAACATGCCTCCGACGATGGGAATCGCGACACCACCGGTCAGCACGGTCAGGGCTATCCCACCAGCACCAAGGAGAGTGCCTGCGGTGATGGCGGAGGCTTTCTGTGCGATGTCGTGGCCCGTGCCGACGTTACACCTGCAGGTACAGGTCACCTTCTTGCGACAGCGGCAGGTACAGGTCCTCCATTCTTCCCCATCGCCACAGCGCTGACATCCTTTACAGCGGCTACACCTGGAGTCACTGTTACCCATTTTTCCTGTGGGGAGAGAACTGTCCTCTGATCACGTACTTATAATTTGCTTCTTCTTGTAAATTTCTGTAGGAAATCGACAGGGAGCAGACCCATTCCACGTCCACTCGAACGGCGGTTTTTCTGGTATCATGATGTGACTTTGGTCGGGGATTTCCGAGTAGCGTGATTCCCCGCTCCACACAAAGAAGTTTCGATGGACCGATCCATTGTATTTTGGGGGTGCAACGCCTTAGATTGATCATTTGAGAAAGACCTGTAGCGGAAGCACGTATATGAGGACTAGAATTTCATTCAAACAGGCATGCACAAAGAACAACATGTCAACAAGGAAACAAGGAAAAGAAACTATTTAAATTTACAATGGCGTATAATGGCAAGTATCCTGACTCCTATTGGCATTATTAGATGAGTCCGGGGTTTTAGGACCTTAAGAGACATGCGCCATGAGTCATACAGGTGTCGTCATGCGACACAACAAAACATGCCGCTGCCGGAATCAACCTTGACCTTACTGTACCCTGACCTAACGAGGCTCGTCCATTTTACTCTTGACTTTCGGCTGGTTGCAGGATGGCCGGCAAAAGAACGCGTTAAAAATTCTACAAAACGCAGTACATGTATCAAAACTCCCACCCGCCCGGAGGCCTGCACAGGAGGCTAAAAAAAGGCCGGCAGTATATTCATGGTCTGTAACAGAGCGACTTCATTTTCTGCAAATATTCCGTAGTTGAAATCACGCACATATGCCACACAGATAATACATGTAGTTAGTAGTTTTTTCACCTATCATGTGCAAAATGAATACAACTGACAGTATGGTTCCAATGCTCAAGTGCGATGTCTCCGAAGTTCATGTTTATTCATGATTTTCGGGCTTTGTTGTCATGGATTAAGGGCCCGGAAAAACCAGCAGGGCAAGGGTTAAGAAACAGTGGCTCTCGTCTGTTTTGATAGTAACGTTAAAACTAGTGGTTAAATCCCAAAGGAAAATGTCAGTCAGGTCACCTGTACGTAGATGGATCAACTTTACAAAGACGGCTGTTGTTATACATGCATTTTTTTGTACCAACAATATTGTAGGGGCATGTTTTAATGCATTGTCGCACCTGATGTTCCAATAATACGGGGCGCATTCTCAGTGATGCAGTACACAGTCCATCCTCTGTGTTCTTAGCGGAAACCCCTCAAGCGATGTCAAAAGAACAGTACACTACAGCAGTTGTTGGGGCCATGAATATTTCAAAGCGCTTCAACTGAACAGGAGTCGTGACCTTGTACTTAAGTGGATTCATGGTGAGATTTAGTCGCTTTAGTCGCACAATTCCAAAAAGGGCGTGCCTCTGTTTGTGTCAAGCATGTAAATACTGTTGAGAAAATACTGGGATCGAAGAGAGAGAAGACACCAGTCTATATACTGACCGTGTCTGTCGGTGAAAATGGTAAAGCTCTAGTCACGTTGTATTTTGTTTCGGTTGTTGTGAGAAGGCGTGTGGTTCGGACTGAGGAGCTGGCCAGACTCTCCACAGGATTCTATTGTACATACGCCAAAAAGCAGTTACTCAAGCTACTGGATGTGATTTTGGAAACGGTCAGACGTTTCAGCTGGTATCCACTAAGCTTTCGTCAGTGACTGGTTTCTATTGTAACGCTACATGTTGGGGGAAAGGAGGGAGACACCGTGAGAAGGCACGTCCGACCCAATGGATGACTTGTACTTCAACTTGGCCGACTTTATGATTCAAAAGCATTGGAACGGGATCGGCAGTTCGAACGTCGGTAGTTCGAGGACCGTCCTTGGCCGTTGCAGTACACTCATTGTAGTGCATCAACCCCGGACAGACGGTTTGCTTACTGTAAATGATGGCCTTTTATCGAACAGGTACTGATGAATATATATAGATACTGATGTATAGATACTGATATCCGGCTGTCGTTTACCACCAAGAACGTTATTTGTGGATGCTGCCACGAAGCAACACGGTTTCATCACGGTTTGTGTCTGTGTTGATCAAAATGTCGCGGAGGATACTGACCGATGGCGATGCACGCGTGAATCGTCGCAATAGCGTGGCGATCACGATGATATTTCTGCTGACTCTTTCCGCACTTCACCAGTCGGTATCGAGTACTACTCGATGGCCGGCTTCGCTGGTGAGTTACGCCAACGTCTTTGGCCTGGTGACGCCCTGGTCAGGGTCCTTGCAACCTGGCGTGAGCACGCCGCCCACCTGCCCTGCTCTAGCCCACCTGAGGCTCCCGTCCGAACACCTGGCGTACTACCTGTACTCGCACCCGGAGGCGGCCGACGCTGCGCGGAACGACACACGGTGCCGCTATCTACTGCAACATGACGGGGAGGTTTCGCAGTGCTGGGGGTACGAGGAGGATTGCCCTCGCCAGGCACGGTACAGCCCGCCCGTGTGCGCCCAGGAGTGGCAAACGTAAGGACGTTAACTGTTAATCTCCAAGCAGATCCTAGGGTGGCAAAAAGACAGTATCGGTCAGGCAGCATTGAGGGTCCGGGCCATATATAAAAATGTAAAATGATGCTTAAATCTTACCCATTTTCTTGATGATGAAAGCCTGTGCGACGTCATGTTTTGAGATCTGAAAGTGTGGATATTGAAGTCGCAAACCAACTTTCGATTTAAATTGGTCCAAAATCCATGGTCTTAGCATAGATGATAAATAGCTATGTCTGAATGATATTAATAATGAATGATGTCTGAATGATATTAATAATGGCTTTGATTGAGAAGCCTTTTCTGACGATTTGAATGTATTCTTCTTATTGATATTTCCCGATGATGGTTCATTGACCCCGGATATCATGATCAGTGGCAGACGTCACAGACTGAACAACACGGAGCGGTTCTGGATCGACGCGGGGTTCGGCTACGTCAGAGAGCAGAAGAGACAACTCGTTCCAATATGCGAGGCCAGAAGACAGGTAACGTTATGACCGTATGGGTATATTTTTCTCATGCACAGAGCCTTGTCACACATACATTTGTTATGCTGAGATCACAATTCCCACACGGGGCCCAGCCGGGCAGCTTTTTGGAACGAAAAGTACGATACAAAAGACAACAAAACACAGAAAAGTTCTTAATAATAATCATGGGATCTATTTCTGTATATTCTTCATATGAATTGTTAATTTTTCGTTCATAGAAACAGCCCGGCCGGGCCCGGTTTGGAAATGTGACCTCAGCATTACAGAAAAGACTGGATAGAAGTTTATTGGCGGACTTTGTGTCCACAGTTAGCTTGGCACTAGCAGCTATTCTTCCTGCATGTGGTGTTTAATACATATAACAGTTATGTGTATATACATGTGTATATGTATATACACATGTATATACATATACACATTTATATCATACCCGGGCCGCGATAACGTTCGATAACGGGTTCCGGACCGGGCTGTACTTTACGGTACGGCCCGGTCCGGAACCCGTTATCGAACGCTTCCATGCCTTCCATAAAACGACTCGAACGCGTTTCGCCCTACCCGCTTGTGCCCCTTTCGAAAATTCGAATACAGAATCCGGACGTTGGAATTGATGTTGTTGCATTTTAGGGTTTATTGGCACCAACTTTTGGCTCATCTTGCATTGAAAGGCGTGTTTTCTTGGGTGGGTATGACATAAATAGAATACAACACGGTGTATTCCCATCGCCCTCGGTCCCGGCCCTCCCGCGAGTCGGATCGACGCGTGGTCGGGCCGATACCTCGGGCGATACGGAATACCCCGTGTTGTATTCTATATGTATATACACATGTTATATGTATATGTATATGTACATGATTGTAATGCATGTGACTGGTGCTTAGTTCAGTGGCGGGGTCCAAAACTGGCAAAAATGTACAATAAAGGTCTTCATTCATTCTAATAGCTATGCACGAAGCGTCAATGATACGCGAAAATCAGTTCAAAGGCCATTCAAAGTAGATCATACGGTCTCGTAGCCACCAAAACATCTGCTTAGAGAAAAGAAAAGAAAAGACGACGATCTTGGCGTTGTTGTTCTCTCCAGGAGGGCTCGTGGCTGGAGTGTTCTGAGTACGCGCGGCACTGCAGGGGCAGGGACCTGTATCTGGACTTCCGCAGACTCAGGATCCAGGAAAGCCGCGTGTCTGCCAATAGGTCCGTCAATAAATTGAGTCACATAAAGAATTATTCAAACGCAATATACAGGGTAGTTCCGTTGCCAATAGCGTTAGTGACGCCGACTATAGTTGCGATTTCGTTCTTTTGAATGTTTTAAAGTTTTACAATGCTTGTACATTAGAGGTAGCATGGGTTTCGGTGAACTAATTTTTCGGTGAACTTCTTTAGTACGTGTTTACCCCAGGCTACATTAAGGGTACACACGCACTAAATTAGTTCACCGAAAAATACGTTGTTACTAATGTTAGTGTGTATTTTATTTTCTCAGTTTTATTGTCAATTTGTCACAGGAGCATTTTGGTCAGATATATCTCGACTGCCAGTTTTTTTTTATAAAACATAAAGCGAGTAAACCGGCGCTGGTGATGCTATACCCAAGGTGTGTCATAATTAACTTATGTGTATTTAATTATTACCTGCATATCTTCAGGTTCAGACGAGACATACTCGGCCCTGGTGAGATAGGAGGCCGCTGCAAAGTTCACGCAGACACGCTGCTAAGCATGAAAGGTCACGAAGTCCACGGGCTCATGTCTTGGTGAGTTACTAATATGGCCTCCACCAGGCCTTTCTACGGGAATACCGATCGTAGAATGCGGCAAAAAAAGAGAGTAAGATTGGCCAAGGGAGTCCGGCCGCGGAAGGTAGTTTCTTTCCCTCCAAAGCGCGGCCAGTCAAATCTGCAAGGCGGCCAAACTCCCCTGGCAAATATTCTCCTATATATAGCCAGCGAAGTTAGTCTGTTAGAGATTACACAATGTATATGAAGATAGCAACATAAATACAATTGCCTTCGGGCCAGTTAAGTTTAAACCAGGCACAAAATCGATGTATCTAAACTTGTGCAGGTACGCAGAGCTGGAAAACCTTACGTCACTCAACTTCCAACCAACCGCAGGCAACGAAAACTGTGACGTCATTTTGGACCGGCCCACCTACTTCATGAAACTGGACATGGGTAGGCCTTACTGAACTTTGCTGAATCTGTTCTCCAGATTTGTAGGTTTTAGAACTTTTATAACATGAAATTGGAGATTTCAGTCTTCCTGGAAGTATTTCAGGATTTTGTGAATTTTTTGGAACAACCAAAGAAGGGAAACAGACCCAATGTTGTAATCTCCAAGCAGATCTTTGGGTGGCAGGAAAGACAGTATCCATGTGCCAGGCAGTTACCATTTGTCTGGGTGGCAGAGGACTCTCTCTAGATGGAAAGTTCTAACCGTAACGCTTTTGCCTATAGACATTTGCTGGGAGATTGCATTTTCAGCTTTAGTGAATAGTAATACATATTCTGTATATATAAGCAAATGCCTTTGCCATGTCTATTATTGTGCCAACCATTCAGCCAACCATCCCCAGTTTTATCCAACAACCAACCCCAGTCAACAACCATATTTCCCTGGTCCATTGAGTGGTTGTTGGATAAAAGTTTGTTTAATAACCATGTGATGTGCATGTATTGTGTGTGTTGGCAGGGGTGAACATGTACCATCACTTCTGTGACTTCCTCAACCTGTACATCTCCCAGCATGTCAACGGGTCCTTCTCCACTGACGTCAACATTGTAGTCTGGGACACCGTAAGTCAGCTTTCATTGTTTAGCAGAAGCCTCTAGCCTCTACCAGGCTTCCCTGACGTTGCTGGAAAAATAGTAGAAATTGGCCAAGTAGACTGAGCAGTGTGCCAGAGGACTTATCTGGCTAATACAATAATCATATTATGTCATTTCTTTACGTATCACTCTCTCTATCTTCTTTTACCTTGAACTTCAGACCCCGCGTTCCTACTGGGACTTGTTTGTAGACACTTGGCGGGCCTTCACTGACCACCCTCTCCTGCATATCAAGGATTATGATGGCAAACGGGTAAAAACACCTAAAATATTTTTTAAATTTACAAGGTTCACTTTGGTAGTAGCTCTTAATGTGAAAAAATGTGCACTTTTCAGCAATGTGCATCTGTCCAATTTGCTTATATTCATTCATTCATTCATTCATTCATTCAAGATCTTTATTGAACTTTAACAGTACGTCGCCAACTTTCGCCGCCACTGAATTGCAGTCAATTTACAGTTTAATATATTGCACATGATTTTTGTTAGTTCAATGGATGAAACTTGAAATATAACTTTAGTACTGCTCATAAAACTACAATATCGTAAAACTGCAACATTTAAAAACACTGCAGCATTCTTACATTCATTTTCTCTTGCAGGTTTGTGTACGTGAAGCCGTCTTCTCCCTGATGCCCAGAATGGTGTTGGGACTGTACTACAACTTACCTTTGGTAAGAGCACAATTTTACAGCTGATGCAATTCAATGGCCATTATTCACGTATCACAAAAATTAAATCGTTTGAATTCAAGAACCTTGGACTAAAAACAAAACTTTTGGAGAAGTGTCAGAAATGTAATTTTGCAACCAAGAAGATATCTATTGACTGTTACTTAACTTGTATCAGGAAAAGACGGGGTTAAGGCTGGACACCTATTACAAAATCATACATATACTTGTGTAAAAGACTAATAGTTCTGGTTTTCTTTTGATAGGTACCAGGCTGTAGCAACAGTGGACTTGTTCGGGCGTTTTCTCGCCATGTCTTATACAGGCTGGGAATAAACCATGTACAACCTCAGGTAAGAATATACCATGCTGAAAATGGTTTATATAGAGAGGATATATCAGTGCTTAAAATGCTTGGAATTTGAGTGTAGCCAACATTCCTCTTTCCCAAAAGTTTTCATTAGTACAGTAACGTTAACATATTAGTCATATTTTGTCAAAGGGTATCATAACAGGCCCTACTGCCAACAAGGATCATTTTACATTTTGTCTTCAACATCAAGTCAACTGGTTTGCTGAGCCCGAGCCTTTTCAGTAATAAGACAGCCGGATTTTGTATGACATAAGCATGACTACTAGTATCTATCCCAAGAATGCTCTCAGCAATCGTAGGACAATCATACAAAGAGATGTATCTTTATTATCTTTATACCAGAGAATACATATAGAATGAGAAGAGGGTGTTCAAAACAGGCAGAAATGCCTTTTATCACCAAGGGATTCTCAAGGTATTCTCAAGGTATTATCTGTATTGTCTGATGAGTTGATTATGTTCTTGCTGTCCGTGTTTAGGATGGACGCCTGCGAGTCACCTACCTATCCAGAACCACACAGCATCGCCGGGTGCTGAATGAAGACCAGGTCAGTGGGGCACTTGTTAAAGACTCCTTAACTTCCTTTGCAGGCTGAATAAATAGTAGAAATTGGCCTAAAAAGGGGATATCATTGGCCAGAGGAGTTGGCCACCCATTGGCCGCGCAGGTACTTAGTAAATGGAGCTTCTCTGGTCGGCCAACCCTCTGGCCGATGATATCCCCTTTTTAGGCCAATTTCTACAGTTTATTCAGTCTGCAAAGGAGTCTGGTGGAGACTATCAAAGACAGGCGGCTGAAACAGACTAGTTCTGTGCAGTCTGTAAAGTCAGGAACAATTACAATGTAGATACAAACAGTTAAGGTTGCAATTTGATCTACACTCACCCATTCCTTACAAGGTTTGGATAGCATTTTATAGTTAATATTTTAATTATCCTCCTAAGAGGTTCCTAATTCTTGGGATCCAGTCAAGCTGGAAAAAAACCTGTTATCCCCAAACAGATGTGGGGAGAGAGTATTGTAGAGTGTTATTAAAGCTGAGTTCTACCTGTTAGTGTCCCACTTTCAGGTTTATTTGAAGTAAATGAATAGTGTTAAGAGGTTATCATGAATTTTCACTTGGAGCTGTCCACTTTTTCTCTCCACAGCTCCTGGCACAACTAAGGACGGACCCAAGACTTCTAGTCAGTAAGGTTGACTACAACCACAGGCATGTTTCTGTCACATTGGTACCACCTTATGATATTATATTATTACTCCGTGAAGGAGGTCAGGACCTCCGGACGGAGTGTTGTAATCGGCTGATTTTTCATGTTCGCAGTCAAAACACTGGGTTCTCTTTGTGTAATCGGCACGCAATTTTATACGCCGTCTGCGGGCATGCCCGTGTTGATGCACGAATGTGTATTTTTGCCGTTGCTGCTTTCGCGGTCAATGTAATATCGCAGACGCACCCCTACAATTACGAGGCGAATTGGAATGGTCCAGAAAAACGCGTTGTTTGGAATAGCAGTGGGGGGGGTAAAAGTTCATGCAGATACGGGGTGGTTTTTATAAGTGGTTCCAGATGGTTTTGCCCCATGGTTAAGAGATGCCAAGTTTTTTGGAAGATGTTCGCAGCCAAAACGCATTCTTCCGTACGTTGCATTTCTGTGTAATTTCGCATGTGGTGTTGCATTATGTCCGGGATGATGCACGTCTTTTATTTTTACCGTAGCTGTTTTGATATTGGAGTAAATGCATATTTTAGAAACATCCCTACTTTTACAATCCTGTGGAATAGGCCGTAGGTTTAGGCAGTTGTCTGGTAGCAGAGGTTCTGTAAGCAGATATCCTGGTTATCTGGCCGGCGGTAGTAACACTCGCGGTGCTTACCGCGGTGCTTACTGTTGCTGGCCTGTTCCAGGCGCGCTTAATTAGGTACAGGCACAGTAAGACGGTGGGGCTGTCTTTGTTACTAGACACGACCATGATAGTCCGATCTTTATGTGAATGCAATGATTGTGTGTGTGTAATTAAAATGAACTTCGAACTTGAAGCACAGTATCTTTACACGCCCTGGGAGCAGTAATGGATTTAGCTCTTTGTATGTGTTATGCTTGTGACGCGCCCTCATTGTATTAACCGTTGCCTAATTATAATGTCTTTTTTTTTATTCCAACATGTAATCACCAGACGTGGTGACGACACACTCAAGTTTTTTCAACTTATATTAATGCCGCCACCAACACAGGGGACAAATACATGACAGGACAATACTCATTTACACCTGAGCGAAGTGAGGAAAGTCGTGTAAAGTGCCTTTCCCAAGGGCACAAGATCGGTGGCATGTCAGGACTCGAACCCGGGACTCTAAGTTCCGAGTCGCGCACTCTGCCGCTACGCCAGATGACCCCATAATGAATATTGACCCCACAGTGAAATTATAATGTCTGCACAGTAGGTCTGGCGTTGACGCTTGGGATTTTATTGAAATATATAAAACTTCACGGAGGATTGTCACCTATGGCTTCTTGTTACTTTATGATATTATATTATTACTTTGTGTGAATATTATACATGATAAGGATGGGCAGACTTTGGAAAATGGGACTTCTCATATGACTTAGATATTAATAACAAGTGATCTTTATACCTTTCAGAAAAATGCCATTTCTGGAGCAGTTACAGGTAGAGTATGCTTGTGTCCTGTAATCCAATCACACATTTGTGTAGCTATGTAAATATTGTACATTTGGGAATGCATCTATAGCAACGACACCTGTGCTGCAGTGCAATGTGAACCAGTCAGAATTGCCCTGAGGAAGGTTACAGACGGTCACCGAAATGTCGACTGAATAAAGAGTCTCTTTACTCAGTGTCTTACCAACCTGATGAAACTATTCACGGATATATACATACTGGTATAATCGTTTCATTCTCCCCATTAAAACATAATGACAAAAATTTGTAGTACAAATACTTTATTTGTACATTGTTAGTATGCTTACAATTTACACATCAAATTTCAGAACACACATAACACTGATATCTTCATCGGGATCCACGGTGCTGGGCTGACCCACGCTCTCTTCTTACCAGACTGGGCCTGTCTGGTGGAGATGTGAGTTTGTTTGTTTTCTTAAGATCTCCATTAAAGTTTTTTTAGTGTTCTGCCGGAATTACATGTACATCTAAGCCTATGCGGATATAGCTCTCCCCCTGAACAAGGCCCACCCCTGAAAAAAAACTGCTACGCTCTAGTCGCTAAAAGTCTGCACAGAAGGCTAGATTACATGAGGTTGATGATATCAGGCGCAAAACTTAAAAAGAAAATTATATCATATCATATGTCATATGTCATGATGAAAGAATCTGGTTATTGTAAATGCCTGATTTCCAGTAATATATGTATGAATATCTATATGAAAATGCAATGGGATATTTAATATTTCTGGCTAAAAGTTGAAGCTTTGACAAGTCAACATGGCTGGAGGTCCTCATCTTGTAGCCAGTCCACCAGGACTTTCTACGGGAATACAAATCGTAGAATTCGGCAAAAAAGAGAGTAAAATTGTCCAAGGGGGTCCGTCCAAGGGGAGGTAGTTTCTTTCCCTATGAGCGGCCAGTCAAACCTACGAGGCGGCCAAACTCCCCTGGCAAATGTTCTCCTATATATAGCCAGCCTATTTAGTCTGGTAGAGACTACAAATCTTGTGCACAAATTTTCTCAGCTACAACTGCCGTGATGAGCCGTGCTACCGAAACATAGCAGCACTGAGGGGGGTTGGATACGTCACGTGGGAAGGCAGCGAGAGCCCGACAATAATAGATGAGGTACGTCGATGAAGGTTAGACTTCCAGGTAATAAGATACGCCAAAAGGCAGTTCCTCAAGCAACTGGATATGATTTTGGAACTTAAATGTAGGATAGATGATGTATCCTTCTCCATTATGCACAGATTCAAGGCCTTCATATCTTCAAACACTTAGTAGTAGGAGATTATTAATTAGAAATTATGTCTGGTTGACAGGTTTACGAATTCTCAGAACTGATTACGACTTTACGCTTTGCGGCTAATGTACTATTACAGTTATGTTGATTTTTCGGGAAGCTGCTTACGGATTACTACGACTAAAAAGGCCTGATGATGCCTTGCGAAAAAGGGTATGCAGGCCCCCATGTAGAGATGTAACGTTACATGTATGACAAACAATTCTCAATGTCAGTGTTGACATTGTGTCAGTGTTAACACCCAGTGTTGACGTCACACTTCAAAGAAGCCACGTGACAAGCTTCAGGGTCAGTCTACTGAGGAAGACCAGAGTGACTGGTCGAAAGCTCTAGGTGAGAGAATTTTTTGTGTTGGAACAAAAGTTTTAACTTTTAGTAAACAATTCTCAATGCCATTCCAGCTGGGCACATATAAGCATCGAGGGGACCATCATAAGTTTGTGAACTACACCGTGGGCGCTACAGAGTTCAGAGGACTGGTGGAGAAGGCTATCACACACGTGATCAACCATCCCGACTACCCAACAAGACCCATGCACCCAAAGGACGAGGTCTGACATATCTGTGGGGATAGCATTTACAACAAAAGAATATTATTGAAGAGATTCACTTAACACTGGTCGCATCAATTTTGGAAAGTCACAAGGCATTTGGAAACTCAAGTAAAAATTGATTTTCAACATTCAAGTTTCACATCAGTGTGTAGCTCTTGGTGTAATGAGCACAGTGATATGAAAATTATTGTTCTGCAGTGTTCATAACTTAAGATATCATTAATAATAAATACAAGCAGACCGGTGGTCTTTCCTAACAGCCCGTCAGGCCTAACAACTAGCCCGCAAGTTTTAATTACAGGACCTTCGGTCTAAAGGCACTAGACTACATGTGTAGATGCCCAGCCCGCGGGCTGATTTACTCAAAAACCATTCAGACTGTCAGCCTAACTTCAGCCCGCGGGCTGGAATTTCTGGTCAAAAGGCCCACCAGCCAGCTGTGGAAGTGTGAATTGATTAATGAATGCAGACTGTCTAGGCCAACTTGAGCCTGGGAGGGCTACATCTTAGCCCGCGGTCTGGTGCCATTGATATGCAAAATCAACATTATCACAACCAAGGAGAGCACAATCCACACCCTTCTGTTAACAGTTAACAGGAGGGACTTATTGAAGTCAAGCCTTGCAGCCAAGGTCACAAAAAGAAAGAAGTGCTTTAAAAAACATGTGCTGTAAGTTCTGTTTGTAACAGATATACATTAGTTACAAAACACTCGTAAGTTGTAAGTACTTATGGAGAGAAGTGATTCAAGGAAGTCTGAATGTTTTCAGCGACTGAAAACAATTAGTCCTTCTTGTTATTGCCCATAAATTTTCATATGGCAATCTCAGACAATTGTCACAAAAAAGGGCCTATAGTATATAACGTTACTTCGTCTGAGTGCAAGCAACCTTGATGGAAGGAGTCCTTGATCTATGCATGGAGATAGAATTCTACCTCCATGATCGATGGAAGGAGGCCCTTTGTTATATTTTATGTCTCATTGTCTGTCATGAAAAATACACACCACAAGCACAAATTAGGACTCACTGTTCTTCTCAGTTATTACTATTTAAAGACATCATCATAGTAAGAAATATGTGGTGAAACTAGGAAGCTGGAAGTTCAACATAATTTATGACTTCACCAGGTGAAAAATATTTTTGAAGGGATTTCATGAATGGTCTAACAATAATTTGATGTGTGTATTTTGTCCAATTGTTCAAATTGGCTGCATTGTTCATATGGCAAACCTTGTTGTTGATGCCCTACAAAATAGACTTTGTGAGTACATCCTACACTTGTATTTCCATGCAAGGAGAAATACTTGATATGTTTTTAGTTTACATATCAAATGTCACACATGATAATCTCTGCTATAAAAGGCAGAGCAAGGTAATGGCCTGGTCCTTGGGGAGAGGCACCCTTGGGTGGGTGGAGTTTAACACGGTTGGTCCATTATAAGGTGGGGGGGTGACATTTGGAAAATACAATCATGTAATTAATTTTTTCCATTCTCCAAGTGTTCTATACATGTAGGTTCCTACATCACCACCAGATAATTAGAAATTACATAGAATCATCACAATGTCACTTTACTTAGTTGTGGAATGTGAATTTAAAATGTAGCTGAACCAGAAAAAATGGGATATACCATATTGTTTAAGGCAATTCACACCTGTTCAGTCATTTTCTTTCTTCTATGCTGGAATATTCGAGAGGCCATCACTCAGTGTTTTCCGGAGAGCAGTGAAAGGAGCCATACTTTTTTTAGTGTAAAACACGTGCTGCTGGATACTTTCCTCAAGTTGACAATTTTCTTCAAGACAAGCGAGAGGGTCCTTGCTACCACCGACATCAGTGTGGGTGAAGTGTGTTGACCAACTGCTGGTAAGTTGTATAAAATTCTGTTTTGTTAGAAATTAATGACAAATTATGTCCAGAGTCGAGTAGAGTAGGCTCAAGATGCTTCTAACAAAAACACATAACCATTGGGAGGATATACAACCTCCTTGGCAAAGCTACTTATAGTCAGAGTGGAGCAGGTAGTGCAAGTCCTAATATATGTAACGTCCTTGGTTAAACAAATTTGCTGATATGAGTAAATTATTCACAGTGCTTTAAAGTTTACTATAGCATCCAGCCCTATTATACTATATTTATAGCTCACTTTTTAGAAAACATCTCTTCATAGAGTGATCAAAGAACAATATAAAACACTCAAACATAAGGTAAAAATAAGTTTGTAACTTTTGAAGTTATTAAAAAAGCCAATTTCTTAATACTGTTTGGTTATACACAGTGTATAATGTCCTTGGTTTGGATGACTAGTGAATGACGAATAATAAATCATTACATTCCTGTGTGCTGTTATGCTAAAGTAAACTTACAGTTATGCAAATTCTGCATCAAAGATGTGAACCAGTTGAATGTTATGAATGGAACCTACCCAGTAGCGTGAAATGAACAAACTTGGCTATCTGACTTATGAAAAACACCCATCAAATTCACTAATTTGACTTCTAATCTTATGATGTTTGCAAAGTATGCAAACCTACTCTCCAAGCAGAGGTTTGGGTTTTGGGGGTATTTTTATGGTGTTTTTAGGCTTTTTTTGGGGGGTTTCTCTTTTGCACTGAATTTTTTTTCCCACCAAACCCAACCTCTGCCGGCACTCACCCCGGGGAGGGGCAACTATATACATGAAAACTATGTTTTTTCCATAGATTTTACCAAAATTAAAGAGGTTGAAGAAATGCAACTCAGCTGGTCTTGTAGCTGAAGAGACATCCTTTCGTCCCATATACAGTTATTCTCCTTCCAAATCATTCCACGGAAGAGACGGTCGCTAGATTTAGGGTGTGCAGCCTTCAATAGAAAAGCCAAATATACTGGGGTGTGCCAAAATTTTTAAAGATATGCGGCAAAACAACAAATTATGAACATAGACAGTCACACAAAATAGCCATTACAAAACTCTGGACTACTGTAGTTCAAACAAACTCCACATTTAAAAAGGTAGACATAGCCTGGTTCTTCTTCATCAAATCACTGCATTGATAGATAGGAAAAACTGTAAATTGAAGACAAGGACTCCCATTAACTGATATAGCCAAAGTATTAAAATTCTGTAGCTGAAAAGTAAAGCTGACAAATCCAAACCAAATTATTAATTAATATTGGTGTAGCTTTACTTTAGCTACATATTACATACCAGTATTTGTATGATTGTTTGATAATATATGCTCTTTTTGATTCTAATTGATATTTTAAGAACAAAAATGACAAATGACAATTATGTTTCAGAACTAAAATGACACACCGGTCTGAATCTGGCAAGTGGTGCCTGCTAGACCATGGACCAGATGGGATCGACCTGAAGTGGATATCCAGCACTGGGTCTATCAAATGGTTAAGTGATCAGATGGCGGGACCCATTTCTGATCTTCATGTGCCGAAGGATGGGGACTCAACCTCTGTCATGGTGAGAGAATGTTAACTTAAATTGTGTGGATATCCAATGACAATTATATCATATAATGCACAATGTATGATACCGTGTAATGCATCTACGTTGTACATATAAGCCAAACATGGTCAGTCTTCACAGACTGGGTAAGTTATGTATGTACAAAGTACTCATATTTTCAAAACATACATGACATGTGTCACTTAGTAATTTTATAGAGAGCAGGTACCTCCATGCATGTTTTTTTGCTGACTTAGAAAGACATACAATTGCCAATGGGCACTGTGACTGTTTAAAGATACTAACCGAGCTCATATGTTGTGACCTTAACTTGTACATTCTGCTTTCACTGTATCCAAGCAAAAAACTAAAATCAAAGGTTGCTTTGTGTTCTGTCTTTTAGGTGTCATATGGAAAACAAAAGGCACTCAAGATGCCTTTAGCAATGTTCCGTGGTGCAGAAGACTGTGGTGAGGAAGAAAACTGCTTTTCTGAGCTCAACAGCAACATGTCTCAAGTCGACTTCATAAAAATGTTCACAGTCATCAAAGATGCAGTCTTCGCAGACTGGGTAAGTTATGTACACCCACACATTACATAGTTTAAGCTTCATCATGATATTTGAAAAAATATGACGATAAAAAAATAAAAATAAAAACAGGTGAAGGCAGGGAGTCAACACAAAAAGCTGGGTTAATATTCAAACAATGGATTTCTAACTTTTAATCAATCCAGTTACTGCATTGAATTGATAGATGGAAAAACTGTAATAACAAGGAAGACAAGGAATTTCCTCAACTGTAAGGAGCATTTTTGAGTTGATTCAGACCCAGAATCCTAGTAGTTATACTTGTGCAATGTGGCTATAGATTTTTTAAATATTACTCTATATTATATATAGATTATTCTGTTGTAACAGTTATTGAGCATGTAGTATTTGTTAATATTCCCTACATTTTGTACAGAAATACTGTTTGGGTGGTAACACTGAGACTCATGAATGAGATCCTGGGGTGTTTGTAAAAGATTTTGTTGTTGTGTGCAAAATTTTGTGAAACCTGAAGGGGTCAAGGCAAAACAGTATGACATGACATTAACACTAATCATTATCTATATCAGAAATGTTAGGTATCTATGATTTTCATTTTACATACCCCGGTATCTGAAGCTGTTGGGGATTCTACTGCAAGTCTCTTTGAATTATGTTGGAGCTCTAATGATGTATAATTACTACAAAATCTTAGAGACTGGTTTATGATGATTTACATTTAATGATGATTACATTCCACAGAAGCCTAAACAGTTGGGTGTCACAAGAAAGCCACTTGAAGAAGTAAGCAGCAACCAAAAACGCAAGACATCTCCACAGCCAGGTAAAAGTTTGTATTAATGAAAGGACTAAATTTGTAGGAAGTCATTTTTGTTAACCACTTTATGCCCTGCATAGCAAGGAAAGTGGTTAGGTTAAAATTTTGTTGTTTTTATAAGACCTTTGTCTAAACTTTAGAGCTAAATCTTTGTCAATGCTTTGGATATACCTGGAAAAAGTTTCAAAAGCCCTACAATGCCACTTGTGTTTTGGACAATCAGAAATAATTGAGATCTATTTGGAAGAGACTGATAACCTTGGTTATAGAATATTATACACACAATCATGCACTAACTTGCTCTTTAATATTATTGTTTTTCTCTTTTTTTTCTTTTAGGGAATACATCTACGGTTTCTCGGAAGTCCCCAGTAAAACGAGTGTTCCAGTCTGTGTCAAGCACCAGCAGAGCTTCGAGGAGTCCAGGTAATAATATATATTCTCTTATAACAAGATTGTCATGCACATCTGTAAGAATATGCCATATGATTGTACATTTCTTGAAGGTAACCCAGTGCTATCTCCTGACCTGACTTTTTGTTACAGTTTAATTGAATTCCTGCACATACACCCAGCCTTTTGATTTTTCACATGGCCTGCCATTCTCCCATCATGTGGCCGATGAAAACCCCCTACTGAACCAGTGACACCCAATACAGTGATATTGACAGCAATGTTGTTTCTGTTTCAGTAAAATCTCCTAAGAAGATCATCAGGCACACAAGACAGAAACGTGAAATGCAAATGAGAAGTAACATCGCTGCTATTGGTGGCACCCCAGGTACTGTACCACTTGAATTTCAAAAAGTTTTACCTATCAATGTGTCAAACAAAATGTTATCCCTATAATTCTCTTAGATATCTGTAATTAGCTGTGTATTAGATGGTTTGTTTGCCAGTGCAATTCAGTGCGCACTGGTCATAGCGCACACTGCATGTGAGGCTGTAATTTTTTTTAAAGAGAAATAAACCAATCGCAACTACATGTACTTTAAAACCCTTGTATCAGTGCAGCTTATTGATTAAAAGTACATTGTCAACTGGTGAGACAACACATACTGGTTACCAACAGAAAGACTTGTTGAGATGTTGCAAACATGTTACATGCTGCAAACGACCATAAAACTTAATACGTTTTTTTAAAATCAATTTTTCAGGCACTTCCAAGTCTCCCACTGAGATGGAAGAAGAGTCTCCCACTGAAATGGAAGAAGAGGAGGAAGATACACTAGTAAACATCCCAGCAAAGAGACAGATGTCTATTCAGAAAAGCCCAGGTACTGATTACTGAGACTTTTAGTTTTAACCAATGAACTACTTTTAACAATGAACTACTTTTAACCAATGAACTACTTTTAATTAGTATACACGCCATGTGTATATTTAATAAAAGTCTTCATTTGTTAAAAATGTAATCTAGAGCTGCATGATTATATATTCTCACTGAGCAAAGAGAAATCTTTGTACAACATTGTTTTACCAAGAATTTGAAAGCAACGTAGTTCCTCCTGTGCCTAGTCTCTCAAGATGTATCAGGCTGTACAGTGTTGCACTTGTGCTATCCCTTGTTTGAAATTATTGGAACCAAACACTGAAAACTAATTTGTAACTATATCTGTCTATTATAGGGAAGTCTGCCAAAGAGATGGAGGAGGAAGAAGCGGTGCACGTGAATCCTGCAAAGCGACAGCGGCTATCCACATCAAAAAGTACGAAGAAGCGGGATTTTCAAGATGGTGTCATCGCCATGCGCGAAGCCCTCATAGCTGACATGGATACATATGAGGAGCTTGATGACAACCAGAGCCTTCCAGCACCATCGTCCACAGTGAAGGCACAATGGACCGACATTCTACAATACAAAGAGGTGACCATCTATGATATAATGATTGTATACCATGTAGCTGTCATCATCAAATTAGGTTGTATATGATTGTGAATTATATTGACTAAGTTCTAATTCCAGTTTATGTATTTCCCTTTTCAGTACCGTGAGATCTCAAACAATGCCAAAGAATACAGGGTCGTGGCACAGTTGAGTAAGAGGTGCTGGACGAAAGTCCTTCATATCTTCCAACTGTGTCACAGAAACGACATTGTGACGAAAGAGAGAAGGGCATCGTTCCTTATGTTCAGACCATTGAGGGGACGGACAGAGTCTGAGATGTACAAGATACTGTCAACATATGTAGAGACAGCATATGGAGCAAAGATGGATGTCAAAACACTCATCAACACAGTAACAAATGACATGGTGAGCTTTCCTGATGTCCAACTAATAGTACTATATGTTGAATGTATAGGCATCTGAAATCTTACATACTCAGTTGAAATTTCCATACCTACAAAAATGTGTACTCTCTTAACTTGTCTCTCAGGAATTTCAATCAACAAAATACTAGTATTCAGCAGAGTTGGACAAGTCCCATTGCCCACTTGCCCAGGGCAAGTAAAAGTACTGTAAATTTTTGGGATGTGGCAGTGTTTGGAGCAAAAGCTCTCATCTTTTTCCCATCATGTATTCCCATAATATGACTTTTTTGTCAAGGAACCATTTGCAAGTCTCAAAACTCCTTACTTTGGAAACCATTGGTCAAGTATAGAACAATATAAAGTGCTTTTTTTACTGAAAAAAATTTCTTGCGGTGAAAATGTATGAAATATGTCATTTATATTTTTCATTGGGCAAGTGAAAAATTTGTTCGGGCAAGTAGAAATGACCATGTGCTTGCCCGATGGGGCAAGTGTATTTTTGAAAACTTGTCCAACCCTGTTCAGTGTTATGATGATAAAGCAATTACATTTCTTGAGTTACAGCAGGCATGAGTTACAGATTCTGAGTGAATGAAATGACTGTGATTGGTCACCGTGATATTTGGTGCATTTCTAAATACACACAATGTAGAAGTATCAGTTTAGGGACTGCATCGTCAATGTACTTTTCCCTGTTCCCACTTAAGTCCAAATTCATTCAAATTGCTTGACAGGAAATGGATAAACTCCCAACATCAAGGGAAATGGTGGCTGACTACCGGAAGATGAAGAGCCAGCTACAGGCCCTAAAGGAGCAAGGGATCAGTCTGGAGGTATGTGCCATGAGACCATTAATTCATCTTTTCAATAATATCATGTAAGCAATCAGTATGTTTTTGTTCCTTGTCATACTAATGTACAGTTGTAACATCCCCCTAACCTTGGTCATAAATGATGTTTTCCACAGGAAGCAGCACAGCAGAGAGAGAAAATAAGGGAACTGGAGGCAGAATTAACTCAGCTCCGGATGTTTGCTGTTGATGTTGCACAAACTGTAAATTCCAGTGACAAGCCTGAGGTGAAGATTGATCACATCAAGGTATGTGTCTTTCATCATTCTTTGCACAGTGTGAATGGACTCTTTTGTGGTACTATAGGACATGGCAATCTTTAAGATACATCCCATTGCTGTGTATTATCAGTGAAATCTCTTCCACAAACTGCCCACTGGACGACATAAGTCATAAAGCATAAACTGGGCAGCCATTTGTTGTAAAAAAAAGAATGTTCTACTTGCCATGCTATCCTGTGAACCAGTCATAAATTATGTAAATCTTTTCAGGGGATGCTAGAGATTGATTCATTTCTGGATCCCACAACTGGAGGATTCGCCATGGAGCTCTCGCTGTCAAAAGTTGAAGGTAAATGACTGCCATGCATTTTGTATCTGAAAAGATAATCTTTCTTCACTCAGTTCTGCACTGTTCTTAGAATGGTGATCATAAGAAGAGAATACAAAAACTGGCTTTAAGTTAAAGTTTATGTTCATATTATTATATGTAAAATGTATCTCCAATGTTAGAAGTGTGTAGGTTGTAAGCTGTAGGATGTGTGTAGGATGTAAGCGAGAGGGCTACTTTGAAGATAGACAGAAGAGAAAAAATACGAAATGCCATATTGTAAGTGAAACAATTTCCAATGTGACATTAATCAATCTTCAGAAACTAGTAATTCACCTCCAGTAGTACAGTGCTGGTGCATATTTTTGCTCATTTTGCAGCTGCTTTGTACGTTTTTTCTTTTACAAAAAGTTAGTTTACAAAAATTTACGAAAGTTTGTACGATTCACCTTTGTAATCAAATCAACATGGCCTTATTGTAAAATGTTTGCTTAATCTCTCACAAGATCCATTATGTACAATCATTTCAAAGTATTCTAACCACTTTCTAATGTAGGTCACCCGAGTCTACATATGACAGATGAGTTCAGTCCCGGATTTTCCAGCACAATGCTCAATGGTTGGTGTTATTTTGCCATTTGTCAAGTTATCGACTACAGTAACTATTGACAGGCTCATGAGCAAAGCCAACAGACCCTTTCCTTATGTCAGATTAAGATGACTCAATGTGGAAACACTTTTTATAAAAGCTGTGTGTATCTTTATTTTTTTGGTTTTACATGTATGAGGGATGTAAATTACATTGTAATAGGATTGTTGAACTGGTTTCTAAAATTTAACAAGAGTCAACCACTCAGTACATGAAGTAAAGCTGAACGTGAGACCTTTTTTCGAATCATTTTTCACAGGTGACTTTGATGCCTATGAGGCATTTGAAGACACAGACAACCTGAACTCGGAAAAGGCCGCCGCAGATGATCAGGGCACAGCTACGGACAACCTGATGCTGGAAATGGCCGCCGCAGACGATCAGGGCACAGCTACTAACAACCTGATGCTGGAAAAGGCCGCCGCAGACGATCAGGGCACAGCTACGGACAACCTGATGCTGGAAATGGCCGCCGCAGACGATCAGGGCACAGCTACGGACAACCTGATGCTGGAAAAGGCCGCCGCAGACGATCAGGGCACAGCTACGGACAACCTGAACTCGGAAAAGGCCGCCGCAGACGATCAGGGCACAGCTACGGACAACCTGAACTCGGAAAAGGCCACCGCAGACGATCAGGGCACAGCTACGGACAACCTGATGCTGGAAATGGATCAGGACACAGACAACCTGAATTTGGACAAGGATAGATGGGTGGCCGTTGCACTAGAAGTGCCAGAGGGGTGGCATATTGCCAAGCTAGAGAGTACTGAGGGCAATAAGGCCTGTGTTAGCTTCCTGCAGACAGGAATACCTCGGGTGTATAAATGGCCATCACTAACGGATAAACTCGTAGTAAATATCAAATGCATCATAGATAAGGATGTGGAGATGACTCCATCTGGAACTGGAACCAGACAGTATTGGCGTATGTCAATTGCCACTTCCCAGCGACTAAACATGCTGTTCGATGAGTTCAAGGTAAACTACTGGTGAATTTAACATGAACTTTGTTTGATTGACTGTTGTGTGTATCATGCTTTTTTTATGCTATGCTTAAGTAGGGGTGTATCACTGTTGAGACAAAGTGAGAAGTGGTGATAGGGTATGTGCCAGTTGGCACATTTTCATGTTACATTTATTACCATTAGTGATTCTTTGTATTTGTGGTTGCATTGGTGAACTGGTGCCAGGAGATTTTTATGGTGCACGGTGTGTAATAAAAGGAAAAGAGTGTACATTTGGTACAAATGCGTTCATTTATTGAAAATCATCAATTTGCTAAATATGATAAGAAAATATTGTATTTTTGCGTCAATTTAACTAGAGCAGCCCATGGTCTGGCTAAATTGTCTATCAGTCTTGGCAAGGAGAATAAGTCAGGTAGTTGAATAAAAACATTTTTATTTGCAGTGGTATCCAGTCCAGCAGCCATTTCAATAGATATTCTAAGTCGTTGTCTGCAACTGCTTTTCCAATATTTCTACAAAACACCAAATTTTTTGCACTTAGTCTATTGGTCTAGATCAAGGAGGTTGATATCACAGAGTATTTTACTCTGAAAACTTGTGTCACTGCATCATTTGCCTGCTTTAGAGTGGTAGATTTGAATGCGTCTACTCACGTCACAACTATATAATATGAAATCAAAAACTCACACTCGAGTACTACTTTAAGGTAACTTTAAACAAGTCTTGAACTGATTGTGTTTGATACTACGCTCCTCTCTTGAGACGAGAAGTATACAGAATCACAATTTTACCATCAAACAAAAGCTGAAATATCACAAAATTAAGTTATCATTTCCATTTAATTGAATTCATCACCGAGTTCTGAAGACAGCAAAACTACAAAAGCATGCAAAGTTAGGACACATTGTCTAGCATACCATATTCATGAAGGTACATTCATGAAAACATCTCACATTGTCTCTTGAACATCTTACATGAATGTTTCCAAAATCCATATATCAAAATCTGACCACTCTCTTACAACTAGGGATGGAGTGCCATGGAGTTCAAATGCGTAAAAAAGCATTTGATGTAAGGGCATCCCCCGTTAATGCTTAATTTTTGCCAGTGGTTCTCCCTCTCCCACGGCCTTTCCCAGGAGCAGGTGTCGTTCTGCCACGTCCCTTCCCAGCAGCAGCTGTCCCTCGTCCCTTCCCAGCAGCAGCTGTCCCTCGTCCCTTCCCAGCAGCAGCTGTCCCTCGTCCCTTCCCAGCAGCAGCTGTCCCTCGTCCCTTCCCAGCAGCAGCTGTGGTTCCTGGGGCTTCAGACTGGGTGCCGTCTTTCTGTTTCTTCTTGGCAGCACTTCTCTCCAGTGCCATCTTCCTCTTTAAGTAGGATGCTTTGGAGCCAATGAAGACCTGTGCAAACATTAACACCGCAAACCATAAATGATCAGTACACAGATTTCATTGAAATTTGATTAATATAATTTACAGCCAAACCTGCCCAAAGCAGCCACACAGGGGACTAAAGAAAAGCGGTCACCTTGGACAGGTGGTCTTCTTGAAGAGGGTCACCTCACAACATGGCTGAGACATAAAAATGGCTTCCAAGTCAAGGTTTCTACTGGTCATATATTGGTCAAATGGGGGGGGGTCTAAGAAAAAGCGGTCATGGCCAGGTGCACAGATTGAAGAGGTGGTTACTTTTACTGTGATTTGTAAATAAGTAAAGCACTGTTAATTGTCTTTATAAACTTTATGTTTAACTTGGTGAATGGAAAGTGCACGACACGAACTTCAAGCTACTCTGCCATACTGTGCATGTTATTACTCCGTGAAGGAGGTCAGGACCTCCGGACGGAGTGTTGTAATCGGCTGATTTTTCATGTTCGCAGTCAAAACACTGGGTTCTCTTTGTGTAATCGGCACGCAATTTTATACGCCGTCTGCGGGCATGCCCGTGTTGATGCACGAATGTGTATTTTTGCCGTTGCTGCTTTCGCGGTCAATCGCAGACGCACCCCTACAATTACGAGGCGAATTGGAATGGTCCAGAAAAACGCGTTGTTTGGAATAGCAGTGGGTGGGGTAAAAGTTCATGCAGATACGGGGTGGTTTTTATAAGTGGTTCCAGATGTTTTTGCCCATGGTTAAGAGATGCCAAGTTTTTTGGAAGATGTTCGCAGCCAAAACGCATTCTTCCGTACGTCGCATTTCTGTGTAATTTCGCATGTGGTGTTGCATTATGTCCGGGATGATGCACGTCTTTTTACTTTTACCGTAGCTGTTTTGATATTGGAGTAAATGCATATTTTAGAAACATCCCTACTATTACAATCCTGTGGAATAGGCCGTAGGTTTAGGCAGTTGTCTGGTAGCAGAGGTACTATAAGCAGATATCCTGGTTATCTGGCCGGCGGTAGTAACACTCGCGGTGCTTACCGCAACTGCTGCTGGAATTTGGCCTGTTACAGGCGCGCTTAATTAGGTACAGGCACGGTAAGACGTAGCCTGGGTACCATTCTACTTGTATGCCGGGGCTCCCACACTCGCTTCCCTAACAGGTGGGGCTGTCTTTGTTACTAGACACGACCATGTAGTCCGATCTTTATGTGAATGCAATGATTGTGTGTGTGTAATTAAAATGAACTTCGAACTTGAAGCACAGTATCTTTACACGCCCTGGGAGCAGTAATGGATTTAGCTCTTTGTATGTTTTATGCTTGTGACGCGCCCTCATTGTATTAACCGTTGCCTAATTATAATGTCTGCATAGTAGGTCTGGCGTTGACGCTTTGGATTTTGTTGAAATATATAAAACTTCACGGAGGATTGTCACCTATGGCTTCTTGTTTGTTTTGTTTTTCTTTTGGTTTTGCTTCAGCACTTCCACTGTACTTCAACATCTAATACCACAGTGATTGATAAGAACCAAGAGTATTACCTCTGGTTGCTGGTAATGCTTTTCCATCATCTGATTGATGGTGAACTGTAGTGGTAGCAGCTCCATGTCGTCTTCATCTCCATGTGTTGCATTAGAGTGTCTTCCCAGCTGGAGAAGTCCCCAGTCTCCTCTCTCTTCTGGGGCCCTTGGCTTTGAGATGTCGGCGATGAAGCTTGCCCACCAAGCTGTTTCTTCCGCGGACAACTTGCTGACATCTGACAGCTTTTTTACTGTAGCAGACAGCTTCCTTTGGTGGACATATGGATTTGGCTTCTGCAGTTTTGGCTGGCCAATTGGCACGTGGTTTAAGGGTGCCTGAAAAATCATCAGTTCTAATCACTTTAGATGTTAAGCACAATATTGTCATGTAGTGAACTAAGCAGATTATTATGTGGAGTGCTTGTGATTTAAATGTACTTAATGTTGAAAAATGTTCCTGTAAATGATAGAATGCATGAAATGCAAGTTTATAATTATAGCATAATCAAAATGTTTTTTAGATATCAAGTAAATGATTTTACAAGTACCTGATGACTCACTCCTGGCTTTGGTGTTGGCAGGGACCAAGATTTGTCTGACGACCACATTTTGTAGTACATACAGACCTCCCCATTCTCTTTCTGCACTTTGAAAGCATGGGGGAGGTTGTGGTGGTCCATGTCAGACATCTCTTGGTCCAGCCAGTCTTTGATGTCAAACATGCTGTTGGCATGTATTGTTGTCGCTTTGGGCTTGGGAGTGTAACTCTCCTCTATCACTTGTAGCAGTGCATCCATTGTGGTTGCAGACTTCCTCCTCAGCAGCGATTGTATCTGAAAAAAAAGAGATTGTTACAGTAAGAAAAATAAAGACAAAGATGTTAACTTATAAGTTTGGAATTCCACTTTTTTTCCATTTTGACAAGTATACAATGTACTAAGTACTATTTTCAATATCAAAGCATTCATTTAAATGAAAAGTAATAACATGTAATTGACAAGACTAGTATGATGTACAGTTATGGATGATGATAATGAATTCATGAATTCATTTAAAGAATTTTCTTCCTGCAGCTGCATGAATTTCTGCAGGAGGAATTTTCCCTGCAGGAATTTCTGCGTAAAACCTAAATTCCTGCAGGAATGACTAATACTGCTAGTAGTTACAACTGTTTCACCACACCAATGCCAGTACTTTCTCGGACACATTCAAGAGAATCCTGTTCATTAAAATTGAAAGTAACATCGATATAATTTTTTATCAACTGATCAATGATCAGATTTTTTTGTGTATAATTTCCTGCAATCTAATTCCAGAGTCCAGCCAGTAAGCATGATGATAGCTTTTGCTTCCCCTTTCCCCAGTTGTATGCTCTTACATGTGTACTACATTGATCTGACTAGAGACTAACTTGTTGCTTGGAAAATGGGATAATCACCTCCCCTCCCTTTTGTCACCCACCTTTAAAGAAGCCATGATCTATGAGTCATTTGTGTGTAGGGGATAACGAGCCTTCACAATGGATGCACTGATATGTAATTAAGGCTAATTTAGAGAAAAGAAGGACATTATACGAACATGGCTTCACTCAGCAGATTCTGCCAAAGAACTATATTAGGAACAACATGCAGTCTGAGATGTTTCACACTAAACACTTCAAACAATTTTTTTATAATGATTTTGTTTGATTACAATATTGTAAGGTTTTCTTATTGGATATTTTTTTTGGCTCTTCAGCTATTACAAGCTGCCAAGATCAGATGAAAAAAGTGGTCATTTGCATGTCTTAGAACAATAGCTGACCAGGTTTGACCCCGCATAAGAAAGGTGCTGAAACAGAATAATTACAGAAAGAAACTTGAATAGAAATTTCATAGAGCATTACACAACTCTTTGCACTGGAGTTGCTAAATGAGGTTTAAACCTCATTTTGTTTATAGAAATCACTCAGTAACGTATATACCGGGTTTACAGTAACTGTTACATACATGTAGCAGGATTTTGGTAATACTATATATTTTCCTTATAAATGGTTTCATGTGATTTACCCTGAGCCATAGTAAGAGATTGGCCTGCCAAACCAAAAGTTGGCTTCTATACGTCTTGCTTAAAGTTTGTGATGTGCCACAGACACCACAACCAACTGGATATAATATGAGACAAGGACCTTATGTGATGCTATGGATACATTGCCTATCAAATGTGAATACCTCCTTGTGTTTATAGAAAACACTCAGTAACCTGTTTTGTTCAAAGTTTCTAAAGACTAATTATGCTATCCGAAGGTGACGAGGGAAATAAAAGAACAGGGGTGTAAGGTTACCTGCATTACTATAGCAGCAACAGAACAATGACCAGGGCTCTAGCCAGCTCAAAATCTTTTTCCATCCGCCCAGGAGCGAGAATGCTCTGGAGAGAAAATTCTGGATTTGCAAGCCTTCAAAACTCAATCTCCCAGATTTCTAGAGGCAAATCAGCGGGCTGTTGTTGATCGACATTATCAATGTTTCTTTACTTCTATCCAACATTTTGTCAATTTTGTCAATCAAGGTTGATGGATTGGTTTAAAAAAATTTCTGTCACAAATTGTCACAAAGTTTCTGCAATTATCAGAAAATGGGGTGCTGGCTAGAGTCCTGACAAGAATCATGCACACAATTACTAAAAAAAGTAATATCATGAACAAGTAACATCATGTTTCCTCTTACCTTACTGAATAGTTGGTCAATATCCTCGTGGGTATGACCAACCATGAGGTATGACACTTTTACCTGAAAGAGTGAGGCATGTGACATTTTATACAACAGTACTGTAACAGTTATAATCAGGGGAGGAGAATCTGTTAACTGTTAAAGTAGATACATGTACTGTGATGTACAAATGTAATTGATGTTGTGAACAGATTGTGAATTTCAGTTATCAGTCTTAGGTTCTCATCAGAATACTTTCTCAGTGTACTGGGAGATCAGGCATCTTCACATGGAACATCTTAAAATCTATTACTTCCAAAACACATATTTTTTCTGCATTTTTAAGAACAATTGTAAAGTGTCAAGTTCTAAGATTTATGAACCATCATAATGGTCCCCTTAGAAAGAAACACCTACAGCTAGTATAAACTTTCAAATCTATTGACCTATAGCACATAGTGTCATATTTACATTGCTGTGGAGACATGCAACTGTGATCAAGGTAATTGTGACCTAAGGTCAGTGAGAAAAGTGAGGTACAACAAACATACCTTCTTCACGATGTCGAGGTGCACCAGTGCACAGCAGTAGGCAAGTATCCACCGGTTTTTGCACTCACCAGCTTTATTATCCATCTGGATATAAAGCACGGGAGGTAGATGCCCTTCCTTTTCCTGGAAAAGACATGATGTTAAATGTATTATTATATACATTGTATATTAAATGATACTATTAGTGACCTTATGAGTTCAAATGAAAAATGAAATTGTAACATGCATTTGATAACAATCAGCAGCTGTGGTGTGTTGGCATTGGGGTGGTTATACGGATACAGATAATGAATGGAAATCTGTCAGTGCTACACCATATACATAATTTATTATCACTTAATTCTAAATCTGGCTGAAACATGAAATGTATAGTTACCTCTGCAGCCTGGACGAGAATGTCTGTTAGGAAGTTTAGGGTAAGGTTCGTATCATGGGGATACTGCATATGATCGACCCTTGCATAACACTTCCTTTCTCCATGTGACAGTGCACCAGTGACTTGGGTCTTCAGTCGCCATAAGCCATGGTCATCCTGTAATGGAAAACAGTTCTACTATAATAATTGTACAACAAGACGTAAGCAGCAATGTCAAGCTTACTTCAGATACATGTAACAACAAAAACATTCAAAACATAATGATTCAGAAGTAATCTTTAGTCTCACCTTTGTAGTCTGTGCATAATGGGGCAGCAATGTTGCCTCCTGCAACCAAGAAATTTGATCATTAGTTTATATCATCTATGGTATAACAATTTTAGCTGGAGATGAAATGTCTGAACCTCGGATGGAAATGCTCACAACTAGACATCTTAGGTTGTAATTGATTTTCATGGCTTCATTGTTTGGTACAAATTATCCTTTATTTTATAGATAATGAATAAAAAAATTACAAGTATCTTTTGAATGTTAAAAAGGTCTGAAAACAAACTTACTTGGTCCATGCCATCTATAATGACTGACATGTACTGCTCAGGGTTTCTCCTAGCCTTCCGTGAGTGTTTGTAGTATTTCATCCTCTGAAGCCTGTGAATTAGTAAAAAGATGGCAAGACAGCATTAAGAACACATTTCCATATGCCACTGAAGTATGCATTTATCAATTGTTAATTTGCTCAAGACAAGGATCAATAATATGTGTTTTATGTTTCAAGAATTGCAGATAGTTAAAGTTTAGTTTCAAATTGGAACACAGAAGATCAACCTGGAGATTTGCCAGAAAGTAACACCCCCAAACATCCCAAAACTTTCATTTTTCTTTCATTCATATTGACCTGCGGAAAAAAAACTCTTAATCTGAATACACTCAATAATAGGATTATTCTTACATGTATTTTGAACATCTTATTAAAATGAACATTAACATGAGACAAATAAATGATTAAAAACTACCAGCAACTCACTTTTGGAGAAGAATGTGGTGAGACCTTGCATTGCGGACATCTTCTCTGTCTTTCTTATTTCTGGCCTCGAGCAGAGCTTTCTTGATGTTGTCACACATCGTGCATTTTGCGAATCTGCTGAACTATGAGGGGCAATACACATTTATAAGAAATACGCAATGCATGAAATTTCATCACCTGAACATCTAGAAAACAGACAAAAGTTCTTGATGCTTTCCATTGCCCCATTCCCATTCAAAACCAAAATCTTCTTAATCAATATCCTCCTTTCATGCCCTACTCAGATAACAGGGTACCTAGGAAAATTCATATCCGAAATCATTACAAAAATGACACCATGTTGTAAATAACTGACACAACTCCAGAATGATCATAGAATGAATCTAATGCAATACTCTCCTCAGAAAAACATACCCTTGAGTAACTTTAAGTTTAGTAGATAGAATTTAAATATAGTATAGTTAGTATGGATTAACAGAGTTACTGTTAGAATTGCATTTTTTTTAGTATTATAGTGCATGATATTGTTCATTCCAGTTCACTGTCATACATTGTTGTGGTCAGTTGGTTTTTCACGTGCACAGGTAAAACTCATGGTTCCCTTCGTTTTATTGGCATGTATTTGCAAAATATACTAGTAAAACTTCAATGGAGAATTGTGGCCTATGGACATTTGTTAATTGCTCATCCTTCCAGAAACATCTCATGCTAACAAACTTTGGGCTGTATCAATGTGCTTTACTGTTAGCCTAAAATGTTTGCAAAACAAACTCTAAACTCAGATCAACTCAGAGATCCTATCTGTCAGATGAACATTAGACATGATTCATTTGTCAATAAAGCCCTCTTGTACAATGGAGATACATTAGTGTGACACTTACCTTCGGAATTCTTATGTGTTTGCACTGTGTTCGCCACACTTTGAAGAACTGTGTTCTTTTCAGTGGTTTGACTGGGTCATCCTTGTTCTCCTCTTGATAGAAGAGATAGACATCATTCATCGTCCAGGATGCGGGGAGGAGAATCTGTTCAGAATTCGGCATCTTATCTCCGTCCTTTGCTGCCAACCCTTCCAGCCACACTTGTGCACAAAGGCTTCTCTCTGTGGGGTAGTCGTTGCCTTGACGGCCGTGTTCTGTGTTTTGGATTTGGCCACACTTGTACTGCTGAAGGTAGCTGTAGTACCTGTATTTTTAGCAACAAATTGGCAAACATCATGTAGCTGATTTGATATGCTTCAAAAATTATAAACATCATTAGCTGGCATGCATAGTAGGCAAGTTTCAAAATGTTGTGTTGATAGAAGCTCCTTCGTAAGACCATGGAGGTAGAAACTCCATGGTAAGACCAACAAGATCAATAACAACATTTGTTTCTATGTAATACATTGTATATGAAATAATAAACAAAACATGCTGGCGTGTTCTGTAGCATGTAATGTTTCAGAGAGACAAAAATTTTTCAGGCACTTTTGCCTGACTCATGGTTTTATCAGCTTGGTTACAAAACAATAGCTAATTACAAGACTCTTTGACCCTTTGGCTCAAAGATCCCCTGTGGATGTACTCTACATGAGCTTCATTCTTATGTAAATATGGATGTTTAGAAGGACAGGTACAAGAGGTGAAAATTGCCTAGTCTTCTCATATGTAAAGTTGAACGGATATTTCTGAAGAAATCTTGTCTGAATTCCAAAACTGATGCAAGCTTGCGAATAAAAAAAAAGTTGGGCAAAAATTCGCAGTATGGGCAAATTTTTTTTTTAAATGGACAAAAATTCATGCGGGCGCAGATGTCATTCATATAATCAAATAAACAGCCTAACTCAGATGATACTGACCTTGAAGTACTGATACCATTGAGCTTTATCCAAGCCTTGTGGCATACAGCTTTTCCACTGATGTGGAATTTAGGATGGCTTGCACCAGCGTCGCCCATTCTGAAGCTTGTGAGGATGTAGTCCCTTGCTTCTGACTGAGAGCAGTCAATCCAAAAGGCCTTACGACGAGCTTCAGCCTCCCCGTATGTGAAATGCCTCAGGCACTTCTTTGTGCAGCAGTCTGCTGATAGTATGGCATGGATGGATTCTGCTGAAGTCCTCTCTGTTGCAATCTTTCCTAATAGTAGTAGGAGGAAAGAGATAGCAAACATCAGACATAGTTTTTGACATAGTTATAGTTCTAGACAGCTACCTTTATCATGGAGACTTTAGTTATTTTATACACTGTTTCAATGTTCTTTTATGCTTTGTAATTTGCAGTTAGCCTCCGGGCACGGATTTTTCAATAAATTTTTCTTTCATATATAAAAGCACCTTTCCTTCAAATGCACTGTATTTTCATTACTAACAGTGAATAGTTACTTGTAGATAAGCTTAGGTACTGAGCTCAAGGTAGGTACAGTGACTATGCCAAAAGTGGAAGCATGTGTTTGGGAGGGAGTTCCATAATTTAGCTGTTTTATATTACCATGAATATATTGTAATGTTAAACTGTTTATTATTTTGATTGGAAGGTCTATTACTATAACTAATGTTGCCCAATTATCCTAAAAATCAAACCTTGAATAAAATTAATGCGATTTAATTCCATAAAGCCTAAATATATAATATTATGTAACTTGTAAGGCAATTATCCTTGTTATTTGTCAGTAAGGCCACACCAATTCAATTTCTTGGTTAACGAATTTTTCTAGAAAAAAAATGGAGCGGGCGGGCGGGCGAAAAAAAATAAAAATAGGTCTAGGCATCCTATTATGGCCCAAAATGGAACGATAGGAGCCATGAAGTCAACACACCAGGCTGGTACAAAATCTAAACAATGAATTTTGATCTTTTAATGATACCATTGCATTGAAAGATGGAATAACTGTAACAACTAGGAAGAAAAGGACTGTTTTCAACTGTTCAGGGCAAAATATGAGCATTCTTCAGTTGATTCTGAATTTTTATTTTTATTTGCAAATCAGAAAAAAATGAAGCGGGCGAATCCGTTAACCAAGAAATTAGATTGGTGTGGCCTACGCCAGAGAATATTGCTGCATCATTCTGTAACATTGAACTTTGCTTGGAGATTATCAATGGGCCTAACATGTTCTATGGAGGTCTAATGTAATAAAAAAGTCATTACCCAAGATACGACGCCTTGCTCCTTCCTGTTGAGGTTCTTCATTTGATTCCCCAAAGAACTGATGTGTCATGTCTTCCAGTTCAGGTTCTTTGTTTGTTTCCCCAAAGAACAGATGTGTCATGTCTTCCAGTTCAGGTTCTTCGTTTGTTTCCCCAAAGAACAGATGTGTCACGTCTTCTAGTTCTAGTGCATCATCTACAAGGAGAAAATAACACTGGTCAGTCCTATATGAACTTTTCACCTCCATGACTGATGTCTGATAATTTGATGCACTTTCTATACTAAATTGTCTTTGCTGATACGGAATTCATCCATACTTGTCATAAACATGTAATAGCCACTTCATGCATCAATTATGCATGAATAATAAAAAAATACCACACACGTTCACTAAATTAAATAAAATATGCTAAAATAGATTTCAGGCTGTTAGATTCATGGGGTGAAACAAAGTACAGTATTACTAAAACTGTAATATTACCTTCAAGTTGGTCAGACGTAGTCCCCTCTGGTGGTTTATTCTCTTCTCCAATGTCAACGGGTGTTGAAGATAAGTCTTCAATGTCACACTCTGGAAGGGAGGAAGTTAATAAGAATAAGTTCAGCAACGCAAAGGCTTCTTGGGAAATGTTGCAAATACAAAAGTACATTAATATATAACTATAATCATATAACTTAAAGATATTTCCAGCAGTGAAAAAGTGAGTCCTTTCTAAGTCACCAAGAGGGTTGTTATTGTCCTCAATTCTTTGAGCTTGTGTAAGAAATTTCACAAAAATATTTTCTACATATTATTCTAAATATCTTTCTACATTCAGAAAATTTTTTTTGGTTGACAATGCATAATATTATTTAAACATTGAAATGTTCCTGTTGCAGAATACAATATTTCCAATAGTTTCTGAATGTTTTTAACAGCATTCTATCATTTTTACCTTTATTTACAATTAGTATTTTGTACATGGGTCAGTGGGCTGAGAGAAAGAAAATCACAAATCCCTGCAAAGAGGGCCGTATGCCTGGATAACAAGCAGACCACTTGCCACAAGGTGCAAGAACTGTGATTTGTTTCTCAGGGTATCACTAACGAAACAAATGCAGTTATAGCAGGGCACTGTAACCTCCTTGGTACTAGCATTTAGTCTAGCAATACTGGAGTCTAGAAAAAAATTGTTGAAAGCAGTCATTGGAGATTGGGTAGAAAGTCTCATCTGTCACAATGGTTTAGGACCACACTGACTTTGAGACTTATTCATTTGGATTGTGACCAGTTCAGTGCTACTAGTATGTTTTGCAACTGGCTTTGGTGTGAGTTGGCTGTAGTTCTCTAATAGCCATGACTTTTGATATGCGTAATTAATGAATTAGTAACTAGACCAAAAGGGAGGATCCGGAGATTTGACAGCATGCAGGGACTATCTCAAGCCTCAGTCAACAGAATTTTTAAAAAAGTACATTTTAGGTACCTTATAAATCTTAGAAATATTTGTGTTTCCGTATTTTTGAATTTTTTAATTCGAAATGTTAAATGTCGAGTCACCTTGAGGCAGATGAAATCTCCATTGGGCAAAAACTGTGTCCAGCCAAGGAGCTTTCTTCTTTATGCTTGGTCCAGCTAAGATACTTAGTATCTCCATTACAAGTAGCTGCTCGACTAATGTCCAGCAGAAGCAGACAGAAGATTCTAAGCACCTACTTTCATTGGAACAATAACCTAATCTTTAAGTTAAACCATTTGGAAAATTCTGCAAATACTAGCAAATATCTTAAAAACTGAAAGAAATACAATTGCACTCTTACGCTGGTATTTGAGATGTATTCCAGAAATATTTGTTGTAGCCACTTCCAAATTTTTTTCACAAATATTTAGTACATACATGGGTATTACTTATTAATTTCAAATATCTAAAACATTTTGGGGAGAAAAATCTGGCTCTGAGTAGACCAATAAGCTTGCAGGAGGATCTTGTCTAACTCTAAGAAAACATTTAGAATTATTATACTCGAAGTGAGTTATCCGAGTACCAGAGATAAAAATCATGTTAGCCACACTGCAACAATGCTCAGCATCTTCTGCGGTTCTTTGTAACGAAGCTTTGTAACAGTGGTATTCTGTAGCATGACTGCCTGCATCTTTTTGTAATAAAATTATTAAGACTTAGTGTAAAACAGCTAGCCAACCCATTTTGTAAGACTGACTCAGGTATTTCACTTGTCAAGTGGGAGACTTTCTATAATTTGGTTTCAAATGCTACATCTACTAACAGTAACAGTTTCTGAAGAATTTTATGGAAAGTGCATTTTGAAAGATGATGTATCAATAGTGAAATACTAGTTATACTATTTTTCTGGACCTGAGCTTCAGAGAATATTGAGCTTTAGATAGACAATTTGCATGATACATATTACATGTACCAACGAATCTCTCCCATAACAATTGCCCTGAATGACAATGGTAAATAATTTGCACCTTAGCTCCAGCAAGGACTCCTTTAGGTTCCAGAAATACAATTTGCATAGGAGCTGGCCAATTACTCATACTCTTCTAATACTAGTACCACCATGTTTATAATGGCAGATTTTGTATGTCTTTGACTCAGAAGATACAAAATATCATGGAAAAATGGCATACATTGCCCATGCCGGTATTATTGCATCTTGCCATAATGAACTTCAGCCAAGCCTGGGTTCAAGCCAATAACAAACTAGTTGACAAAACCAAGTCTTTTGAAGTAGACACAAACTAAACACAAACTAACCCTACAGCTTTCGATGTACAACAAGACAATTGTACAGGTAGAGCAGGTGAAACTGGTAGGATTATCAATGGACCAGCAGTTAATCTTGATATCTTTAAAAAGGAGTTGGATTCACTACTCAACAGACCAACAAAACACTACCATTGGCCAAAGACATTCCGCTGTTCATCACACAAGGCTCAGTCTTAATTTCAGTCAGTTAAACTACCATCTATAATTTCAACTTTATTGTACTGACTACCATACAATGTCATGTAAATACTAGTAATATTTTCTAGCTCCATGTTCCAACATAGTAGTATCGTAGAACTACCGTAGAACTTCCTCAGCTACCTGGGACATTCTTGTACAGGTGCACAAAATTCCACAACACTTCAAATCATCAAGCATTAAAAAACACATCAAGGACAGGCTGAAAACGCAGATGTACACAAACAGACCCCTGCAGCATTGATGGCTTGTATGATGTATGTGATCACCTTGACCTCTGACCTCTCAGCCAATTTTTCCCCTTTTACATTGCTGCATCAAGGAGGTTTTTCAAAATCAGATTTTAAACCTCCTTGGTTGCGTTAAGGCTAAGGTTAAGTAACAGAGATTTATAGTTATAAATGTATTAGTATTATAAGACTTAGTGTTATGATATTAGTATTCGTACATTTAATGTGTTAATAGCTATATATGTAATGATATGTATCATTTTGTAACTTTCTGACTCCAGGAAGAATAGTGCAGTGTATAATGGAGATCTATCAAAATTCAAAAATTAAACAAACAATTATGATGTTCAAGCAGGGCTCCATCCTAACAGAAAATAGTTTCCACAAAAGAAGTCTAAAATTACAAAGTTAAAGATAATGTTAACAATTTTCTCATTTCTTGAGCAAACTGGCTGTCACTGTGAGATTGACTGACAGTTGTACCCCAACAGTCGCATATACACAAGACTTGGGATAGATGATTACTGAAACCTGAAACATGAAAACAATGATCTTCCTCACACTCAGCTGAACTCTGAAACTTATGTATCTGGAATATGGATGGGGATAAATGAATATTTTTTTATAACTAAATACATGCATAATACTGAATCAGATATACCTGTTGTACTCTCTTGAAACAAGTGCTGAATGATCTCTTCAGTCATTTCCAGGTGGATGGCTCTTGCAGCTCGGCATAGGTCTTTATGTTCCGGCCAATGCAGTTCCTGGTGACTTTTGCTGCAGTAGAAAACATCTTTGCACAGACCGCACCTCTTGAGGGGACAGCCGTCTAGCGCAGGCAGAGCACAGTACTCACACAGAGCCATGGCCATGGTCTTTTCAGTCACCGAGGCAGCGACACTGAGTCTCAGTTATCCATAAACCTGTAAAAGAAAGAATAGACTTTTTGGTCAAGAGCAATAAAAACTTTCAGTTAATTATTGTCAATAGTAAATTTGAAAACTGGAAAATAGAAGCAAATTGATAGGATAAATGATCAGTACATATTTACCATTTTCAGACATGTACACACTGTGACTGTTGCTTTCTGCTGGGTGATTTCACTTCTGTCTCCAAGACTGTCCATAAGACAACTGCACGGGCAGGCTTGGTGAAGCTCAGTATGCAAATGCTTGGTACAGGAATGACAATGGGTGACAGGCCACAAAAATAAAAGACTCAGAGCCTTTCATCAGTTCTGTCAATGCAGTGCAGCATTGTTCAATAATTATTCAAATTGCTGTATTTTGCAACTTGAAATGCCTTCCTCACAGCTTTACTTTGTAGTCTCAAGGAGATTTTTTAACCTCCTTGGTAGTCTGATAAGTACAATGGCTTGTAATTTATGTGGGGTCTATAGCCATGCGTGCAGTCAGATAAACTTGCTACAAACCTGAACATTACATTTTGTACTAGAATCTTATGTTCTTGATAATGATTAACAATGTATATGGTAAAACTCTGATCTTGTTCTGCTGTTTCTACATTTCAAAAGTGTCTTAAAACTTTGAAGAGTGACTAAAATGTACCTTATCAAGCTAAAGTGCTACTCACACACAAGACCGGTAAACTGCAGTACTGGCAGTATATATGGCCTCTTTTACTCAGTATTTGTCTAAATGGAGGACAAGGTTGGACCATTGGACTTGGTTGGACCATGGAGGTAAAAGTCAACAAGGAATGAAACATCCTTGGTTGGACTGAAGGACTGAGTGACATCTTGTCGTATGAGGATTAACTGAACCAAACTGAACTGATATTATCAGCACTTACAGCTTCGGCTATGCCTGAAACCTGAACAGTCCTTGAGAATGACACTGTTTTTCCACATAGGGGCAAATCTGACTGCTGACTCTGGTTTGAATTCTTTTCTCCAGATCTGCTTCTCTTCTGCACAGAACCAAACTGAAGTCTGATAATTTATGATTATAGCTGACTTTTTACCAGTATGGTATGGTCATTAGTGTAAAAAGTTGTTGACTGGTCATGTGTATGATTTACTAAACCCGTAACCGGTCTGTGGGTGTTTGTATGACATCAGAAACCATGTGAGGTGGCAGAATCCCAAAACTCAGGCCATTAGGAAAAATAAAATGAAAAATATCAGAATACTAGACTGGATAAGTCCTGAATACCAAACTTGAGCGGTGGCTAATTGCTATTAGAGCACACTGGAGGACAGTGGAGTAAATCACATTCCATTCCTACCATGCTAGATCTCCACAACTCATCACCAATGATGTCTTTCAAGTATCAAGTATCAAATGTTAATAAAAAAATCATGAAAACACAATATATTTGGTACAACATCATGAATTTATGTTAGTAAAGTTTCTATAAAAACTTCAAGAATACACACAGCACTATTGTGAAGTGACAAACTGTGAACTCTCATCAACCTGGAAACATATTTTTTGTTCCTGTTTGATTGAAGGCATCATAAGACTCTGAGGCCTGACATCAGTTCATGTTCAGCCCCGAGGGCTAATGTTCAAGACCGCGGCCTAACCATTGAGCCCAGACTGCTCATGAATTACCACCTACTTGTTAATTACACAGGTGTGAAAATGTGAATTCTCATTAATTCAGTGGTTTTCATGGGGGGTTGATGAGGCTAATTGGATGCGGTCTGGATGCGGGCTGGCTAACTCAGGCCGCGGGCTAAAGTTTAGGACTGCCAGGCTAAGCTGTTGGGCCTGGCGGTGTGTATTCGAGACCGCAAGGCTTGCAATTTTTAAAGTCAAATATCTTGATAAATTTTTACATTATGACCATAAAAAAGCAACCTGGTACTGAAGATGGCATGATCTTTCCAATGGTATGCAAAAGATCACTGTACATCCAGGAATAACAAAGTTGAAAATCAGGGGTTTCAACATAGCTGTCTCGAAATTCGGAAAGTGACATTCCAAAATTGAGGTGACCAGTGTTACTTGTCACATATAGATACAGTTACTAGAGAATTCTTTCAGCAGTGACAAGTTTTTGAGTATACTATCGTCCAAATTTTCGATGATTATCAGTCCATCTTGAGTGGCCTAGTCTCCTGCTGTCATGAGACTAGGCCACTCCGTGAACAAAATGGACTGATAGTCATCAAAAATTTGGAGGTTAGTATTCTTAGCCTTCAAAAACTTGTCACTGCTGAAAGAATTCTCTAGTAAAAGAATATTAATATATACTTCAAGTACAACTTAGCCTGGGTGCCATCCTCTGTAGTTACTGCCGGCTCCCTATTGTCACTGGCTGTCTAGGTAGGGAGCAGGTGGTAACTACAGAGGATGTCACCCAGGCTAACTACAACTCTTACTGAATAATGTATATGTGTCTGACCTACATGTACTACCCTTGTACCAAATTCAGGATTGCTCTCACGACATCCTTATCCATAATGGATGCTGGATGAAAGCCCTCTACGGAAGACTAGAATGTCTGGATAAACTTATGATACACAGAGATTGTTAAGTTATAAAAACATTGTTTCGAAACAGTTATCACACTCCTGAAATATAATAGTAGACCAGAGTATCGGTATGAATAAAAGTTTATTTTCAGCAATATCTCTCCCCTATGTACATTATGTATGACTGCATTTTACATAATTTAAGGACTTTCAATCTCACGTGATCTAAATCTCAAGTTTAACATACTTAGGAACTTAGGATGTGCTTACTGAGCTTATCAATTTTGTCACAATTTATCTTCTCGTTGGGATTTTTCACACAAAGACAAAGACATTGATAGACCACCATTTGAAAACTTGCATGTTTCCCTTCATATCTCAAACCACACTGTGCACTGTACAATAACCGCCAAGCCTCTTTTTGTCCTCTGCAAAGAGACCAAAAGAGACTCAAATAAAGCTAAAATAGGTTTGGACACTATGAAAAGTGTACAGCTTCCTTCCCTATATTTGATTTGTCTTTGCCACCTTTTGAGTTACAACTTATCATGATTTTCTTCCTTGTATTTTGGAAGACAAGTGGACTTATTGCAGAGCAATATAAGAAATATACAACTTGATGACAACATCAAAACATTAAAAATTTTCTCCCGGATGGTCATAATGCTCCACCTTGTACTTGATTGTCTGAATCTTTGCTGTTTTGGTTGTTCACCTCTGACTTCTCCTGAGTGGCCTGTACATGTGGTGCCTCCTCTTTCTTCTGATCAATCAGAGCATCCTCCTTCACATGTGGGGATGGCTGTACTCCCTTCTTATTTCTATGTATGGTGTTTTTGATGTGTCCGATCACTGCAAAAGGGTCGACGTTCACATTGGATGCCTGGAAGTCAAGAAGGTTGTGATTTCACATGACTTCTGTATAGATGAGTACAAGAAGATCTTTCTTTCATCCTGTACTGAACTGTGACCACCTTAAGCTTGTGGTCAGGTGCCTTAGACCTTACAATATTTTTCCCTTTGTCCCAAGGTGTCTACTGTGACCATTGAAGCTTTTCATTGATGTAATAGTAATTATAAGTATAATTAAACTTTCCATTATAATTAGAATTCCCTGGCAACCATAAATGCAGGTACAACATGTACAATGTACAATGTACCTGCAACTGGATTGCAGCAGTAGCATATAGGCATACTATCATATTATTTCACCAATACACAATACAAAATGATGTCACATGAAAACCCTATATGGGTAGATTTTGTCTGTACCATTTTGTATGCCAGCTACACCAACCATAAGAAAGTAATGGGTACAGTACTTACTCCAAATAGTTCCATGGAACTGATGTCGTTTCTGGGGTTGTCCGGCGGGCCGCGTGTGATGATCCTGGCTACTGCTGGGATGTCCTCTGATGTGGGCGCACTGAACGGCTCCTGAAGAAGTCCACAAGACATAATATCGCTTTCATTATGTTTACATTTGCAGAAAGAAAACATTTTGTTTTTGCTCTGTTTCTTCTTCTTCCATTGCAAACAAATAAGGTTGACCAATGACCTGAACCAGACATCTGTCACCATGGTAACTAGTGTTGGGTTACATCATGTTGCAATTTTATAGCAGGAGGGATTTGGACTCCTGTCACCATGTATATGAGTGTGTTTGAGTAAGAATTAACAGAGCAGACCATATGTGAAGGTAAACATTATGCATTTGCTGTGCAAATGTTACCTTCCTAGTTGATTTTATTCATCTTACCAGCAGATCACATTCAGGTCTCCAAGAAGACATTGTGTCATTTTGAAAGCTGTTGTGACTAGGATACTGGTTTGGCGATTCAGGTTAATTCAACTTAAGTTAAAATCTTAATTAAGTTCAAATATAAAATGTTCATAAAATTGCTTTAAAAGACTTTGGACATTCGAGTACTGGCATCTTTCAAGCACCTTCCTGTTTGAAGGGGTATTAACATAGGTCCGTTTTAACCTACAAAATACCTATATTACATTACAATGTATATAAATAGTGAAATATTCATTTTCTTACCAGTCTTGGTAAAAACATGGCCATGCTGAAGGCTGGAAGTTTTAAATCATCTATAAAAGCTGGAAAAACAAAAATAGTGAATATTAGTTATCATGAAACCTGGTCACACTTTACATATCTTAAATGTGAGAGCCTTACAGCCTTGCCTTCTAAAAAAAATGATTACAGCAAGAACTACATTGCTATCATTACAACATCTCGCAAGGCAAGTCAGTTCAGAAGTGTCACAACACATCCACATAGAGTCACTTGACACTAAGGATTTTGGACACTGAACAAGACTATTTCCTGAGAGGGGTAAAGGAGGCTCACCCTTCACTCAACCGTGACGGGGGCTGACATTGTCTACCAGATACCTTTGACCCGGTGTTGACGTCACACTTCAAAGAAGCCACGTGACAAGCTTCACTGGGTCAGTCTACTGAGGAAGACCAGAGTGACTGGTCAAAAGCTCTAGGTGAAAGAACTTTTTGTGTTGGATTGAAAGTTTTAACTTAAAACATCTTGCAAGGTGTCTTGCCCATGGCCAGGGAAAAAAGCACACTTACTTCGAATGGTGTAGTATATAAGTCTGAAGAAGTCCTCTCCTGAAGTTCTGCTCATGATGAAGACTTCATGGTCTTTCTTAGGTGTCTACAAGGATAAAATTGTATTAAGCATGGATGAAATTTTTTTCGTAATCCAAAATAAAGAATTAAGGACCATCTCACAAGAGTAAAATGTGGGGTAAAAGTTAAGACTGATTTTTCCACACTATAGAGCTTACAAATTAAGTAGTTTAAATTTAGCATACCAGGTAGGCCATGGCAGAGGCATTTCCGAGGAATGTGGTCAAACCAAGTGCATTGTGGATCTGTGGACACAAATAAAGATACATATAAGAGAGTGAAAACTATTGCACTTCCTTTCCTCTTTGATACATGGAAGACCTCTCTGATACATGGGGACGTTTTCAACCAAAATGCTCAAGATCAGATTCTTAAAAAATTATTATCACGTACAATTTGATAAGAAGCATTGTTTTACCTGCAGAAGGTGTGAAAAGTAGTTGTCACCGTCGTGTTGATCTGCATAGTGCTCTGCTGACAGGTGGAGGTGCTCCATCAGACCTGGAGGGGGTACGAGAGACAAGAAACCATTAAGACCCTCTCTCCACTATCTGTAGACAGTGATTACTGAGTGACCATTATGTGATCAAAATTCGATGTGAGTGACCCTTGGTTTCACAAATTGAATATGATGTATGGTATTAAAGAATGATTTAAAAGACAACAAAACACACAATTTGTCAATTTGAAATTTGTCAATTGAAGTGTCAATCTTTTAGCCAGCCATAAAATTAAAGTTTGCAAATTGAAAGTTCTATGATTGGCTAACTCCTCTGACTCAGACTCAGAGGAGTTAGCCTCTGACTCAGAGGAGTTAGCCAACCATAAAACTTTCAATTTGCAACCTTTAATTTTATGGCTGGCTAAAATGAGTCTGACATACAAAATGTATTCTACTTGGCCTTTTTATACCAGTTTGCCATCAATACATCAGAGTCTGGTAGAGACTACTCGTAAGTGTAAAGTGACCCACCGTAATGCCTGGCAGCACTGAGACTAGCCTGTGCGTGTGGATGGACCTGGCTGGCGCTGGCTTTAGGCAGACTGTCCCACATCAGGTGGGGATAGCGGTACTGCTTGTCTGTGTCGTAACACTTCATAAACCTGAAATAATAAGGGGAATATCACAGTTTAATGTGTGAATATGACATTGTTTTGTTTGGCTTATATTATGCACTGTCGATGAGTCACTCGTCTTACTAGTAAGTACACAAGACAACTATAATGCAATGACAATATACACATACAGATATGTGATAATACTCATGATATATATACTTATGGCAATTCAAGTTGTTGTGGACACATTTCTCAATCTCCAAGCAGATGTTAGGATGATAAATCATCATCATAGATCAAGTTTTCTGGTAGCTAAGTTTTTCTCACATCATTAGCTTGTACGTCAGAAAAATTGGGCAGCAAGAAAATTAAGGTCACAATTTTCCCTTTTACGTCAGACTTACGGCATGAGGTTCTTTGCGACTGCTGACATGACGTTAAGTTCTGTTTGGAGATTAATGCCTTATATTATAACACAATGAAAGGAACACATTCTCCGTGCTTATAACACATCTCTGTAGAACCCTACATACCATTTCATGGCTGTGCTTGTGAAATCCATGAACTGTTCTTCAGAGAAGGCCGTGGGATGGTGGGTCTTCAGGAGGATGAGGGCGTGGAAGCTGTCATACTTGAAAGTGTTTGCAGCCGTGGCAGAGTGTGTGGACTCTATCCTGCCGAATGTGTCTTCTGCTGTTTTACTGCAATGGAAAACATAACAGCTGTTAACTTAGGATAGGTCCAGTCTGCAAGCTGGTACGTGGAAGGTGTTTTGATAATGAACATAGCCACTGACTCAACCAACTCCAACTCAAACTTCCCAGTATATAGGGGCATTGTCATTAGATAGCTTTAAAGAATGTCTAGAGTTAGATGTTCAAGGGTTAGGCGTAACAAGTTGATCGGTGTAATGTAGCCAGCTGCCGCCACGCCGCGTGCCTGCAAAGCTGGTGTGTTACGCCGAAGGGCGGTTATACCGGCTATACAGATACAGATCTACTGGTATTCCATTGAAATGAAAGCACAAGTATATACAAGTGACTATTTTGCTGAACTGATGATATAACAGACAATCTACAAAGACAATGTTTACTTACAATTGGTATGCACAGAAGTCGCAGTCATTCTCTGTTTCTTTGGCCAACTCATCTACACTGTAAGAACATAAGGAGAAATTAGAGCAGTTTTTATCCAAAACAGAATAGAGTTTTCAAGTAACTCCTTAGAATAATTACATGTACATCCACTGCGAAATTACCGGCTTAATTTGCGGAGTCACTCTCTTTACTGTGAAAGATTGAGATGTCATTGCACATACTGTTGTATCTTGGTACTTTTTATATTATTTAGAAACACAGTACGTAATTCATGAAAACATTTATGCTCAATTCCGAGATTCATGAACTGCAAGTTAACAATGTATTTGTATATCCAGGATTGCTACATACTAGCTTGCTACATCCCTGTCTCCTGTTGCAACTCCAGGTCTTTTGGAGCGGATGGGGTTGAAGACAGAACTCTCGTGTGTGATCAGGTTGAACACAGTGGTCACAAACTGTGGAAGAAAAGAGATGATAACATATAACTTGTCTGTATCTAATAAATCAATAAAGTTAGCTTCTTTGGAACAAAAAATTACTTTGTTTTGATCTAAAACCACTGTTCACTACGACCAGTGAATGAGTAAAAGTTTCTATATCAGTAAGTCATTTTTGGACTGACAGTATAATTCTTAATTAAAGAGAAGAGGAGGAAGACACAGAAACACACATCTGCACTGATTAGTGACTTGAGCTTAACTAACCTTATTTTAAAGGCATTGGAATGGGATTGGCTGTTCGAACGAAAAACAGCCAGTCCTGTCCGTTAGATACGATTGTTCTAAGTCAATCGTGAGTTCGTAGAATTGAACCTACGACCGCCCGTTACATAACAATCTTAACTTGTTTAACAATCTTATCTTAACTTGAAGTGATGTCCCAATATTATTTCAGCCTTTGGGACAATGTTGTTGTTAATGCAAATAAACCATTGATAACTTATCAAGTTTATCTTGATACCTGTAGTTTAGCATCCTTCAGTAAGTCATAGTTATTACCCAGCCACTTCAGGACTTTGGTGAAAAATCACCACTGATGCTGTTTGGATCTAAACAACTGTTGACTACAACAAGTGAATGAGTAAAATTTCTATATCAGTAAGTCCTTTTTGGACTGATGATATACCGGTAACAAGCATAGCTTATCAAGATTATCTTGATATATGTAACTACCTGTAGTTTAACATCCTTCAGTAAGTCGTAGTTATTTCCCAGCCACTTCAGGACTTTGGTTTGGAAGGTGTCCGGGATCACCACCTGGCCGGACTTCCTCGTCACCTGGTAGATGTCATCAAATATTCGGTGTAGCTCTCTAGAAAATAATTAAGGAAAATAATTCATTAGATTACCGAAGATATTCATAGCATTCCTGGTCATACACATGTATTACTATTTTCCTATCAAATAAAAATCACTTGTATCTGTATCGGTATAGCCGGTATAACCGCCCTTCGGCGTAACACACCAGCTACACACACTTGTCACTTGGCAGTTAACATAAACAAAGACTCTAGTCTGACATATCATTTTCTTATACATGTATCCTTTAAGCTTCTTGAGCACCTTTTGTTCTCTTGAACATGTTTTTCACATCTACAACCAACTGAAAGGTATCATTATGAACACTACACAACAAGCTATCAGCCTATAATAAAAGCACTTATTTAGTTGAAGTGTGGATCAGATGAGACACAACTGTGGAGATTTTTCTATTACATGTTAATGCTATTTGCAATTGACTGTCAGTAAATATTAATGAAATACAAATGATAACCTTACTTGCAGCCTGGATGTTGTGCTGAATGCCATCCTTCCATCAGGTCTTCCAGTTTACCTATGGTGAAATTTTCTTTCGTGTTCCCGAAACAGTGTTGTCTATACCAGTCCTGGAGAGGTGAAAGTTTATTGAGCAAAAGATCATTATCCTTTTTCATGATATAACAGTTTTACAGGTACATTGTACTGTAATACATTTTCAGAAGACCTGCACTGGTGCAGGTAACACTGAAAATAACCTGCAAATTTTACCTGAACCTTAATTTGAAACAAGGTCTATAGGTGATATGAAGTTACATGTCTACAAAAACTGCTAAATAGATGTCAGTCCAAATTTTGTACTTTTCTTGCAAATCCTTAAGCTTCTGAAAATAAATCTGTGAATAGTTACATCAGGTTGGTAAGACACTGAGTAAAGAGACTCTTTTTACACAACCAAGTCTTTTATTCTTTATTAAGTCTTTCCTAGAACTATCGCAGAGTGGAACTCACTGTCACCAAGTACAGTAGGGGCACTGTCAATAGATAGCTTTAAACAATGTCTAGAGCTAGAAGTTCAAGGGTTAGGTGTAACAAGTCGATCGGTGTTATATAGCCAGCTGCCGCCGCGCCGCGTGCCTGCGAAGCTGGTGTGTTACGCCGAAAGGCGGTTATACCGGCTATACAGATACAGATACAGATTCAGCTGACATTTCGGTGACTGTCTGTCACCTTCCTCTGGGCAATTCTGACTGGTTCACATTGCACTGCAGCACAGGTGTCTCTGCTACAAATGCATTCCCAAATGTACAATATCTACATATCTACACATATGCGTGATTGGATTACAGGGAAATGTATCTACAATGTGTTCCCTGAAAATAAAAACGTGCATCATACCGCATGGTTTGGTACTGCTGTACTGAACAATCTTGTGGCATCTGGAGCATGTCTTCTGGGTCTGAACTCATAAGAGTTTATCAAGAATAAGAGTCTCAACCAGCCAAACACTGAAAAAGTTGCCACAAAGAATCCGCAGAGAAGAAGCTTCTTGTTTAGTCTGGCTCCAGGCATAGTTAAGGGTGTCTGGGCGTCCTTTCAGATAGCCTCATCTTACAGCACCTCCTGAGGCCTCCTGCAGCCAAAAGGAATAATATGTCAGTTCAATATATTGACATGATATACTCTTAAATGTACTTTTAAGCTTTGATTATTAGTGAGCAGACAGTTACAACTTACATATTTCTGAGTCTGACAATTTTCCTACAAATAGTGTGCAGTGGTCAAGTGAGTGGCAATCATACAAGGACATTATATATAATGTTATATGTAATGCCCTTGTCATAAGTGTAGATAAGTGTAGATTAGTTGGTTGTCTACATGGTTTGCTGTACATTTGTAATGTTATCTGTTACAACCGTTGTGTTTTAAATAAACTTTGACTTCTGTCTCTGGATCCAAAGGTCCTGGGTTCAAATCCGGGCAACGCTTAAATCGAATACCTTTGCACCTTCTTTAGTTGTCAGAGTTATAAACACCAATGTAAGGTTATACGCCCTGTTGTACTATAAGGGTGCTGTATCAATCATGCTGATAGACCTCAAGGCTGTCTTTAAGCATCTATAAAGGTTGTGGCTCTATAATTTTAAGGTCAGCTGCCTTAGGCATTGTAACTACACAATCAATATAACGTTAACTGACCAAGGACATTCCATTATACACAGACCTTGAACTGACTTTATATTACTATTAGTGTTATCCATAAAATGGTAACCCCACCGTGTTAAGAATTTTGTGTAGACTTTATCCTATAACGTCACAGACCAGAGTTAGTTTCAAACAGTTGTTTTTCTATCAAAGACATCGTTGACAACTACACAACATGGATCCCCAAGATGGTATACAAGATGACATGATAGTTCTTGGACCGCCCCCTTGGCCTTGCAAAGTATTACTAGTATAGCCGTTCTCCACGTTTTACACATCGTTCCTAACTGCACGGCATGATTTTGGATAACTAAGCTACCTTGCAGCTAATTTTGAGCATGCAAAATTTCGTCAGAATGATGTAAAGTGCAAAATTACCTACGTGTGTTCACCGATCATCGAAGCCACGTCTTGTCTGTACTGGCCATTGGAAAACAAAGGCTAGTCCATTCAGTAAATGGGAATAATTTTTTCTAGATAACCACGTAGCTGGACTTTTGTGTTGAACAAATATTAAGAAGTCATTGTTTTAGATTATAAAAAATACTGTACACTCTTAAATTTCCTTTCATCTTATGTTGCTGCCTTTATTTGATAATATAAAAAAATAAGTTCACACGTGTTCCCTTTGGCACAGTAGATTCGTCCAAATTTACAAGGCATCTAAACGTATAAAATAGCTGTGAAATAACATTTGATTGATCCAGAAACTTTTAAAATAAGTGTAACATCTCATTCTTTTATATCATTTGGTTATACGTCGATATGGTGTACATTTGAGCAAGTGTTGTGTTAGAAATGATTATTTTTCCGTCTATTTCGTACGTTTTGCCGCGGTGTTTCTATCTGTTCCAGCTGCTTTGCTTTGCCCCGAGGCGGTCTTGCACGAACTGATAGCCATCAGTCTCAAAGGACATTTACCATAAGGGTTTCCCTTCCCGACCGAGAGAGAGAGAGAGAGACCAGGCCAGGGTGTCGGTAAAAACGGTGCAGAGACACTCTCCAACAAGTCAGCGGCCAAGATATGCCTGCATGGAAGCCCGCCTGCCTCAAAGCTATCGAGAGCGGTGAGTGTTAGAAGTGAGGTTGGAGGGAATCCCCAAGTTTTGTTTACACGTTGTAGTTTTCGGCTGTAGCCGCGGGGTAGATAAAGAGTGCGATGGCCAGTTGTGCGTGCAAAGGGCGCGATTCTCGGGAAAATACAAATACGGATGTCCGGCGTGGGTTGTGTGTGTGTGTGTGGCCGGATAAAAACCGTCTCGAGCTACTGCTAGCTTTTATTTTAGACCGAGCAACAGACTTTGCGAGCATTCAGTCGGCACGCACTCAAGTTTCTAAATTGGTAACTTCTGGGTAACTTCTGGTGGCGGAGTCGCCGAAACTTTCCGGCGCGTTTCTTCTCTTGCCTGCTTCACAGTTTGTGTGTGGATCTTTTGGAGAAGAAGGGGGCCTATTTCGAGCCTGTGTGTTGACCTTGCGCTGTTGTTTGCTAGGGTGTTACACGGTTCTGAATGTTGGAAATGTGGCGTATTTGTGGCGCAGACACAGGTCACTAACCACCAACATGGCCACGCCAAGCTCTCGAAAACTGAACGTTTGTGAAATCAACGAAGATTTAGATCGACCTTGGAGCGGATCTAGCTTTTAATTTACTCTTATCAAGAAGTCTAATTGATTCCACATCTGTAGTGTTGAAGTTTTCAGTCCCCTAAAATTATGCTCATATCCATCGCTGCTAGGTTATTGTACTACGAGGTATGCAGAAGTTCAATCGGTCAGCAAAAATAACCCCAAGTTCAAGTTTACAAATTATTTATGATCCCTCTGGTGATGTTGGGCGTCTTAATTATAGTGTCTGATAGATAATCATGATCATTGCATGACCCACAAAGACTCAAAGTGTCCTATTTTACAACAAGCAAATCTACTAAAGCTCCTGCAATTAAATGTGCAAAGATTGAGTGTAACAAGTCGTTCTGTGTGATATAGCTAGCTGCTGCCGCGCCGCGTGCATGCGAAGCTGGTGTGTTATGCCAAAGGGCGGTTATACCAGCTATACTGATACAGGTACAGATACTAGAGGCTAAGGGGACTCCTTATAATTATACTTTAAATGCAGAAGCTTTTGCGGTGGTACAAATGTACACTGTATTCACCTCGAAAACCATGTACCATGAAAATTCATGACACCATGAATTGTATTACAACTGTACTGAAGGAATCGTTTCAACTACAAATTGAAAGCATGGTGCAAACGTCTTTTTACCTCCAACCATGAAATTAAATCCATTTTAATTTAGGCCGTATAGATTCTCAAGTCGAAAACTTTAAATTGGAAAATGGTTTATATATATACTGTGTGTGAAACATGAAAGAGGCAAGTAGTACAGTCTCTTGGCTCCTGTGTTTCGAACCCGCGACCAAACCCAACACACTAACCGCAAGGCTAAAAGTTCCAGACAAATTGGTAGCACTTGAACCTCACTATTATGGCATAAGAAACTTGGGTATGTTATTTCTAACTAAAAGCCTTTAGAGTAAAGACACTAAGTAACCTACATGACCTACTCAGGTCCAAAAAAGCTATCGCAAACAGCGTCACATGAGCCTCAACCTCTAGTTTTTAAATTGTTAAATTTCAGTTAATATCGATTTGTGTGTTCTGGTTCATTGTTGATGTATGTATGTCTTCTTAAATGTATTCACTGTATTTTCCTTGTATGTGATCATGTAATTTTAATGTTTGAGCCTTGGAAGATTAGCCCTGCAGGGCTAAAAGGCTTTGAAATAAATGAAATGGCTATCGGGTGGTCCCTGCTATCCATGTTGATGATACTCGAGTGTGCAGCTCCACCCCCTGTGTATTGCTGTAGAAGTTTGTTTAGGCAGGAGTTTAGTGTGTATCTGAGAAACCAAGTCAGAACTGACACGGCCGAAGATCTGTTATCCCTTGAAGTTGACATCCTCTGGCCCTCTGGAGGGAGAAACATCTGCTGAAACTTAACCCTGTGTTTTGCTAAGCCACCAACCCAGGGGTCAGTCCAGGAAATATTGTCACGTATGTCCATGTATCATGTTCATGTAGGGTCAACTGGTTCTGACTAGATGGTAGATTTGGCCAAGGACATCATATAGTGTCGTATATGGTGTCCTTGGTATTGGCCATAGCAAACCATAAGAGCACAGATAAAACTATAAAATGCTCCCTCCCAGCAGTTGTATCTGTATCAGTATAGTCGCCCTGTATAACCGCCATTCAGCATAACACACCAGCTTCACAGGCACTCGGTGCGGTGGCAGCTGGCTACATCACACCGAACGACTTGTTACACTCAATCTTTGCACATTTAATTGCAGGAGTTGTACATGTTATGATGGAAAATTCTAATCTTTTCAGGCTGCCACACAACTACAACTATACCCCAAAAGGGATACTAGCTGGTATGTCTTAGTTGCACGTTGAGCGGTAGTCTATCCAGTTGCTTGAGTAAGGTTTTTGTTGTGTATCTCATTACCTGGATGTCTCACCTTCATCAATGCAGGCTACTAGCTCAAAAAGGATACGCAGAAAATGTTTTAATCATCTATCCCATTATCTGCCTGGAGATTATACTGTATACATCATGTAAAAGTATTATTCTACATCATTGCTCTTTGTATTGCTACTAACTTGTTGGGTGGGGAGTAAATAAACTTTGGAATTGGCCAGTAGGTAAACATCTGCATCATCTTATTTAAGCCTACCCAAACCCAAACAGACCTGTAATGCATTGCAGCTTACAAGAATGCAGGAGAAATGTAATATGTCATTACTGTAATGTTATCTAGTGTTACACAAACTTATCTACAGATAAATTGAGTGATAGATCACTGTCAGGTTAGTCAGTGTTGTTCAAAGGTTTACCCCGTGTATTTTTGTGAGTTTGGGCTGCGTATTTTTCTGTTAGTTCACAGTAGGCATGTATTTGTTGACATGCAGTGCTTCACATGAGGGTGCATCTGGAGGGTACCCTCAGCTGGTGTGTTATTTCTTTGCTCAGCTCTACTAATTGTTGACAGTCGATGTACACAAGTATGCAGGGAGGCACCACAGGCCCTCCCAGTGTCCTACATTTGTACATCCTGCCTCCACTAACTAGTGCAGATATACTAGCTAGTGTATCTGTATCTGTATCTGCATAACCACCCTTCGGCATAACACACCAGCTTCACAGACATGTGGCGTGGCGGCAGCTAGCTATATCACACAGAACGACTTGTTATATACTCAATCCTTGCACATTTAGTTACGGGAGATGTTTAAAGCTTTCTAGTGATGATGTCCCAACTGTGCTTGGTGGCAGCGAGTTCCAGCCTACGATAATCTAGTGCAATGTAATCTGGTAAGACTTTATCTAGTCTAGTGCAATGTACAGCTAGGATAAAGTCTTCCCTTGTCCTTTTGGGGACTAAACTTGGTTGAAAATAGATGTAAGGAGGAGAAATGTGTTACACAGGTATTATAATTAGATTTGCAAGGTAAAACTATTTGCTTCATACCAGAATCCACTGGTTGCCAACCAGTGCACTGTGCATAGTTGGTTACCCCATATGGAAGTAGTACGTATCATGTATCTATAACCTTGGACGTTCTACTCTACTCTACTCTACTCTACTCTACTCTACTCTATTCTACTCTACATGTGCCTAGGACAATTTTATGGCATTTCTTCAGCCTTACACATTTCCAAAAACATTTTTATACCTCCTTGGTATTTTCTTGCCCTTGAAGTTGTAATTATGCACCTTGTCAATCCCGACCCAGGTCACACACTCTGCGCTTTACCTCCAAGAGGTATTTTGCAGATTGCCCATTTCGGGAAGCCATGGGGCTTGCTAATAGGGTTTAGGGTAACTTGGATACTGCTGTGCCTGTCAGGGTCGTGCTGTTTGATTAAACTGGAAGTCAAGCAGAACTGGCTTTATACCTACTGAAAGAGTGGATTCCCAGCTGCAGAGAAACTATAGATAGTTAAACATACTGGTTATGCTAGGCTTGTCTCTGGCTTAGCAGTCACAATTATGTGGTTTTCTTGAGAGCCAAATTGTTAGGGAAGACACAGTAAAAGATGCCTGTAAAATTCTGAGGGAAGGTTGCTGTATTTTCATAGTGCACAAGTATGGCAGTAATCAAGGGCCTGTTTTTCTGATCATTCGAGTTAAGCAGAAACACCTGCACATTTCACAAGGTTTACTGAGTCCTGAGTATAGTTGGAAAAGCCTAATATGCTTTCGGTATTGCACAAAGTCTGTAGTAAACAGTGAGAGTTTGATTGAGAGGGTCTGAAAAGTGGTACAAGTGTGAGATTGTCAGTTGTTGAGTTGCACAGCTGGAAGCTGTCAAAATTCCAGGTTAGCTGGACTCCTTGCCAGGGCCAGCAGTAAGGAGAATTCATAAATAAGAAGCACTGACTTTGATTCATGAGATGCTCGATTCTCCTAAGTAGTTTGATTTTGCCAACATTGTAAAGCATGTAGAGGTGTTTGCCATTGCTGTCTTCGTAAATTTTCTGGGACACCGGTTTATTTTTCCTTGTCCAAATGGCAACAAACAAATGTCATGCTGCTGTGCAAGGGTTAACCTTTGAAGCAAAAGTAACAAATATCTTGACATTGCACCCAAAAGTATGTTTCAAAACAGAAAAGGGGTGAAAGATGTTAATAGTAGTTGCTCGCAGTATTTAACCTTTGTCATCTTCTTGATAACTTTTCCTGGCAAATAAGGTTTGTATCTTGAAGACCTGAAGAAGAAAACTAAGATACCTGACTTTACGTGGGTACATAAAAAAGATTTATGAAATACATGTGGTAGTACATAGAAAAGCAAACAAAATACTATTTCCTTATCAGTGTATAAATTGTATGCGTAGGCTGCTACTGTACATGTATGACTGGTCAAACTTATTGCCTTTTAATTTTGGAGTGTCTCGTAACTTCTGTCATCTTGATCTATAGATGTTATGTTCACCCCTAACCTTACAGCTGTGGTCACCCTTCCTCCACAACAGTAAGCAAGCAGATCCACGGA